AGAGATTGTACGTAGCGGAGAAGGCTAAGGTACACCAAGCGATAGAAGACACTGTTTCGGGAGAGAAATAAGAGACGAGGTTGATGAGCCTCTGGTGAATAAAGAGCAGGTAGCCTGTTGAGTACGATGTATGCCACTGACGCGATTGTTACTTGTTTGGAACTATTTTGTGTGGAAGGTTACTGTGTTCCGTGTCCATATAAATAAAGGGGGTGAAGCTTCTCTGTGTTCGTCTGACAGTGACGGGCGCTGAGGCACGTCGAGAATTCAAAGTTCAGCGATGCAATGGTAGCGAACACACTGAAAATAAAATGTCTCCAGTGTTGTCATCTAACCAAGTGTAGTCATCTGAAATGATGTCTACACAAAACCATAGAAAGACTTCCGCGCAAGAAGGACCAACAGAATCAACATACTGTAGCCCGATTGCTGTGTTCAAAGCAAACTTGAGAAAAACGAAATATGCAACCATGGCTTCAATCCACTATTGGCTGAGTACTAGTTTAACTTAGATGTGCAATTTTATATTGCTTTGTTTTGATTACCGAAAAAGAGCTGTTGTGTGGCAAAATATTTTTTTCACTGTTGTTGATAGACAGTAATATTGTGTGAGAGATTATGTGTGAATAACTGCTCCAAGTGAAAAATGTTCATGTAAAATTGAAAATCGAAATAGTTGTTTCAGTAAATATTTGCATTTTGCACGTAAAAAGCTGATTCATGATTCCATGTTGATGACAGCATTAAAACGGGAAAAAATAGGACAAAAAATATCAAAGGAAATTGAGAAACGATAAAATATGTTAGTAATCACGATTAATTTTGAGTTAATTAGAGTTAATTATTGTTGATGAGAGCATTAAAATGGGAAAAATAGGACAAAAAATATAAAAGGAAATTCAGAAACGATAAAAATTTTTAGTAATCACGATTAATTTTGAGTTAATTAGAGTTAATTATGACATTTGCGTTTTTAATTCTATTAAATATTTTGATCGTTTTGACAGCTCTAATATATATATATATATATATAAAGGTCATTTTAAAAAAGATTCATCACATGATTTTAATAATTCAATTCCTATTACATTTGATTTGATAAAGGGGCTGAGTAGCCATTGCTATTGTGTTTATTTACATAAATAGTACACACACACACACACACAATCATGTTAATAGTCAGGTTTACTTGTGGTCCATGGTATATAGCCAGATTTTGTGGTATGCTGTATTCATGATGCCATATCAGTACAATAAAAGTGTTAAACAACATATTTTGATCTATTTATTTTATTGAATAAACCTGGAGGATACAGCTGCTAATGTAATTATGTTCATTGTTAATGCATAGTTTCCAAAAATTTACCTTTTAAATCTTATACTTTTGAGTATCAGAATTCTTAATTTTGAATATCAGTCAAAACAGAAAAATGGGTCCCATGATGAATGTTTACGGAACCCAAAATTAGTTAGAGTGGTTTCCCAGTGGGTAATCTAACGCAACCGAAAAAAAAGTTTCGGTTCATTTCTGAAATTCTCAGGTCTGTAATTATGAGTGAATGATGTGTGATATATAATTATTATTAATAGTATTATCATCACAGTTCGTTAAAGCACATTACATAAAATGATTACAACTAATCAGCCAACCGTAAGAGATCGAGCTTTTCATGATTGTGTGACAATGACGCACATGAAGGACAAACTCTCGCTCAGCAGCACTTTGCTTCAAGATGGCATTGATCACATCATTCTCCTGCTTCTCTGAAACGCAAGCTGGTGGTGGGACTGGGATATTGAGTGGTATTCCTGTGAGGACAATTCGTAAAGATTAGCTGTGCATTTCAACGTGTGTTTGTATGTGTTGCCCGAAGTTTACGAAATGTGTGTTTTAGTGTACCTGCTCTCTGTAGACACTCAGGACTTGAGTATCCAAGGTACTGCAGCATTTCATCCAGAGAATCATCACCATCCCTCAGCGTATCCCATGCTGGAACCACCTCCCGACATACCCGTTTGGCCAGTGGTGGAGCGAGAAGCTGCTCAAAGCCCACTTCCACCTTGTGCGCCTTGCCACCTATGTCGTGTTCCTTATTCCCTTCCATCTGCTTTTCCATTTCCTCTCCCCCAACTTGTTGTAGTCGCACAATTTCTTCTTCAGCAACATTGCTCCCCTCTCTGTCTTCATCCATCTCTCCCTCTAGCTCGGGACTTTGACCATCTATCGCACTTCCTCCCTCCTCTGACTCTTCATTCTGGTTTACTTGACTGCCTTCTTTGCGCTCCTCTGTGATCTTTTTGGTTGGGCTGTGTAGATGGAGATTCACACTATGAGGGGACTGTGTGTGTGTCAGTAATGTGTGTGCAGGACTGCTTGGGGAGCATGGTGGAGGCCCGTAGAGGACAGCAGAGTCCCAGGAGTGCTTTCCGGCGACATCCCGAATAATAACACGCACACAAGCAGGAGCAGAGGACAAACCAGCTGTCATTCCACCTCCTGGTACACCAGACTCTGACCGAATCTGGGAAATACAGAAGTAACACTAAATACAAAGTAGAAAATAAATGCTTGCAAACATTGTACTATTTTCCTTCCTGCCCTTTATTGCACTTGCATTGAGCTATGAGACACCTCAGAGAGCACCTTTAGAGCCCGATTAAATTCCTGAGGAGTGCTTTGGGAGTACATCTGGCATCATAATGTTAAGAAAACAAAGTGACCTGGAGCACGGAGAGCAGTGTAGAGCCATTTAACGACAAGAACTGTAGATTTGGTGAGTGGAAGAGTTCAGGTCCAAGATCTGCACTCTCACAGTATGGGTTGTCCTGGTTCTCACACACCTAGAAATGAACAATAAAAACAGTATGTCACAAAACACACCCCCCACCCCCACCAATCCCCACCCCTCCAAAAGATTGATAAATGTAATCTACATCCATCCAATCAGCTTATTTTTTCTCGGGTGACAGGTGCACTGGAGTCTATCCCAGACGACTTTGGGTGCCCTACTAATTTACGCAGTTTAAGTAAAGTGGTAATACAACTTAATCGCCTAGCACAAGGAATCGCAATATTGCCTTAAATATGTCTGTTCCATATGTACCGTCAGGGCCAAATGTTTTGAGAATTGGTTTTCACAAAGTTTGTTGCTTCAATGTTTTTCGATCTTTTTGTAAGATGCTACTGTGCTCGACTGAAATATAATTCCACACATTTAATGAGTGCGAAAGGACTATGTAGACCATACGTTTATGCAAAGAGTCAATATTTGCAGTGCTGACCTTTCTTTTTCAAGAATTCTGCAATTCGCCCTGGCATGCTGTCAATTAATTTCTGGGGCACATACTGACTGTTGGCAGCTCATTATTGCAGAATCGATGCTTGGAGTTTGCCCAACTTTGTAAGTTTCTGTTTGTTCACCTGCCTCTTGAGGTTTGCATGTTGATGTCATGTACCCTGAGCTACATTGTTATCACTTTTGCCTTGTGGCAAGGTGCTCCATCATTTTGGAAAAGGTAATGTTCTCCCCCCCATAAAAGAACCATTTGGTGGCAAAGTTGCTTTTGGAGGATGTTTTGGTACCATTCTGTATTCATGGCTGTGTTTTGTCAAAATTGTGACTGAACCCAGTCCTGGGTCTGAGATGCAACCCTACATATGAATGGTCTTAGGATGCTTTACTATTGGCATGCCACAGGATCGATGGTAGTGCTCACCTTTTCTTATCCTACAAAATTACTTTTCCACGGTCCTCAGCAGTCCAATCCTTATACCATATGCAGAATATCAGTCTGTCCCTAATGTTTTTTTTTCCTGGAAAGAAGTGGCTTCTTTCTTCTTGACATCAGGACATACTCCAAAACTCTTTGCCTTACTGTGGTTGTAGATGCATTCATACCTCCTGCTACAATTCCTGACTAAGTCCTGCACTTATGGTGATCTGATCTCACAGTTGATTGTATATATGTATATATACATATGTAATATGTAATTCATACCTCCTGCTGCAATTCCTGACGAAGTCCTGCACTTATGGTGATCTGATCTCACAGTTGAATCAACTTTAGGAGACAGTCCTAGTGTTTTATGGAGTTTCTTGGGCCTTCTTCACAGAAATTTAACCTCTTTCCTTGTAGTTCAATTTGCTCATTTTCATGACAAAAAGGAACTTATTGACATCTTAGAGGGAATTTATTGAGATCCATGCAGCTCTCTCACTCTTTTTTCTCATGTAGAGTTGTAGAGGTGAGTCGAGGCCACCTCTGCAAAATATTTTTAGCTTGGAAGCACGTACCTTGGGTCAAGAGTTTCAATAAATCCCTACTTTTGCAATGTATCCATGTGCTCAGCCCGATTTGCCTTCTACTGGGCTCCTTTCTTGTCATACGCAAAATATAGCAATGAAATCGGTTGGCAGCACTAACTGTGCTTTTATAAAATAGTTCCCCTGTTTGCAGCCATATTGTTAATGCAAGCAGTGCACGGCAGCTTGGGACAATGTTTCAGCTACATAACTACATAAATCCATCCATCCATTTTCCGATTCGCTTTATCCTCACAAGGGTTGCAGGGGGTGCTGGAGCCTATCCCAGCCGTCTTCGGGCAGTAGGCGGGGGACACCCTGAACCGGTTGCCAGCCAATCGCAGGGCACACAGACGAATACCACCCGCACTCACACCAGTCACCCCAAAAAAATTCTGTTGACAAACACTCTAATTCGAGAAAACTGATTAATTTTGGGGGGGAATCATCACCACGGCTTTCTCATTGTGGAAAATAATGTCAGGATCGAAACCCTAGCTGATTGACTGTACCTGGCTGGAGAGAGTAGCGGGCCCTCCAGACATTGGGTAGTGCCCCAGATGGTTGACAAGGTGGGTGATAACCGTCCTGGCTGCAATGGAAACCAGACCCTGTTGAATACGACTACGGACTACAGAGAGAGGACAAAAAAAAAAACAAAACAAACCAAGTTAGACCTTTAAGGATCAGGCCTGTGCGTGAGAGATTCGAATATGCAAAACAACAACATACTTAGTTGGACAAGTTATCAACATTGTTTTTTTTTTGCTTTTTTTCTGCCAGCATGTCGTGCTTTATAAAATTCATAATACGTAACCCACAAAAATAAACGTTGTTTTGTGTACATAATAACAAGACCAAAACGAAGTAAGGGGTGCTGATGCACAATGGATCGATACATAGTCTGCTCCATGCTGTGAAGAAGCCAATGCCATCACACAGTGTGCTGCCAGAGTATCTTACCGAATAAACATCATTAGAAACTCACGCACACACGCACACAGAATGTTGCACATTGACATTCAAACAGGGTTCTATTTCATCCCTGCTGACCACCAGAGGTGGTGCTGAAAAGACTGAATCTTCCCTTCGCACACGCACAGCTCGAGAATGCATACAGAAAATGTCACCTGTGACCCCTGGGCACCCAGGACGGGTTCCGGTGTCACCAGAAGTTTACATTAGAATCAGAATCAGATTTATTGGCCAAATACGCAAGAAACACTCAAGGAATTTACTTCCCAGTTACAACCCGTTCAGAGGAACATAAGACAGCAATAACCAGCATGGGTGAGACAAAATAAGAAGTCTGGCGGGTTGCTTTTAAACGCCCCGTTATCTTAGATTTGAAAGAAAAATAATCGGGAAGAGGAGGGGGGGGAAAAAAAACAAGACTCCAACCATTCTCCTTCATGGGAGGATGGTTTGAACCAGAGGGAAAAAAAAAATGTCAGCCCATGTCGCATACATTTAAAAACAGTAAAACAATTCTCTCGACTTAACATGAAATGAACAGGGTGGTAAAGGGAAGGGAGGTAGCTGGGAGAAGTGTCACAATAGTAGGTGTGCTCAGTCTCTCCAGTTGTGATGTGGGAGGGAGCAGCGAAGACTTTGACATTGCGCCTGCAGCAGCAAGGCCAAGACCTTTACAGTCACAGTCTCGGGGGAGTAGAGGGAAGAAGCTTGCCTCCGTGTGTTTTTCCATCCAGGGGAAAGTCCAGACAATCATTGTTTTGGGAGAAGGCCGTCTGCAATTTCAGTCAGCCTTGAATGTCTTTCAGCATGTCACTCGCCGTGGCATCAATATGCCGAATTCTTGATCAATCAGTCTATCACTTTGACAGGTCGGTACAACTACTCTTGGTTTTTCCATTTTGCGAAGCGACTCACAATCAGAAGGCCAAATACGAATGGAATATCATTCAGATTCATGTGGGTGGTATATTCCTTTTGCCAATCTGAATGAGCATCAAATAAAAAGTTCAATTAAAATCAACAAATAACACAGACAACCACATTTAATAGTGGGGAAAGAATGAAAAGAGACCTAAATATTAGCAGTGAAGACAAAGAATAGTGGATGCATGATCTCAGAGGTTGCTGCAGTCATTAGAGTAGCTGCTTTGTCCTGCTGGAAACACAGCAGGGGAACATCTACACTTTAACCCGGGACACTCAAAGGAGTTCGCACATACACGCGTACACCGTTTCTATTTTTCATAATTGGCACTGCCATGGTGACAGTAGGTCAGATGGTCCAAGCTGTGTGAGTCAGCACATCACTTCAAGATTTAGACAAAATGCAATCCATGTTTCTCATACTACAGTGTAGATTTGTGTCACTTGAATGAAATATAAAGCTTTTGACAGAATTACTGTAAACAATCAGCCAGAAACACACATGCGGAGAGCATAGATTAAAACAAAACGTTCAAATAACTTCAAGTGGCGAATCACTGAACCTCAAAGCAGTCACAGAATCACATCTCGTTTTGACATCAAAACACACAGCCACATCATGCTAAATCTTTTTTTTTTTTTTACCTTTTAGTCACATTAAAATGCTAATTACTAATCAAAAACACACCCAAAGTGGAGTTTTCCTCAATTCACCCATCTCAGAACATTTTTGCTCATTCCTCCTCTTTAATCAACAGCTTCGCCCAATCCAAGAAAACAACCGGGTCCTCACTTTTCTACATCACAAAGTCAGTAAATCCCGTCATAACTATTCAAACAAATAAATAGCTGCAGCTGAATAAAATACCTTCAGTGACTGGCTGGAGTTTGTTGGAGCGCTCAGACTCTGGACTATGCAGCGGTTCAGGTTCTCTAAGGCTCTCTAATGGCAAAAATGGATCGTAGTCTGTACTCGACAGATCTGACAGCTGCAGTGGGTAATACTTGAGGCTGCTGAAAGACTGGGCTCCATACACACAGCCATGCAAAACCTGGAGACAATTTGTAAGAAAAAAACAGAAAGAAGAAAATTGTGAGGAAAAAAAAACCCTACATAACTTTTACTTTGGTAAAAATATTTTGAAGATGCATGACATCATATTAGCCAAAAACATACCTTATAAATGCAGCTGAGCAGAGTCTTTGGCGGCTGGTCCTTATCTGGAGGGCTGCGAGTTTGAACAGGTTGAAGCAGAGTCTTGGGAGGGAGAGCCATCACCCAGTCCAACAGACACAACAGGAGGGACACAACTAGCTGCAGCAAAAATGTTTGTTGTGTTACTTTCAAAGAAACGAACCATTGGGTGGAAATGATTGTACATTGTGTGTGTGTGTGTGTGTGTGTGTGTGTGTGTGTGTGTTCATGCTACCCTCTTATCCAGCTCATGAGGCGAGGACTCGGTAGTCGGCAGCAAGTGTGTTATGGTGGCAATCAAAATCTTGAAGGGAATAAAACCAGCGCAATGTGGATTTAATCCAAAATAGAGGAATGACTTAGTGGTACATTGCATTGAAGAAAATTGTCAAGCAAATGATAATGAAATGGTCTCACCTCTACTATCTTCTTTGGAGTGTCAATGGGAAATTTATGAAGATGATCCACATAACTGATCAAAAGGTGAAGAATGTCCGATGCCACCAGAGCAACATTCTTATTGGGGTACTGGGAAAAACAGGTTCATGTCAACATAATAGTCTTATTACTAAACCACCAAGATATGATACATACACAATTCATGAGTCAGTGAGACAATGGTTCATTTTAAGAAGTGTATTCAGGTTCATCGGCCTGAAGTCAAAATATTGTGTTGAAAACTTCTATTAGTGACAAGGGAGAGCATCTACATCGAGGCTCTAAATAGGATTAACATTTACAAAGGAAAATTCCCTCCAGATCAAAGGATATACTCGGCTAAGAAATGAAGCAAGTGGCACTGCATGGAAATATGAAAATCCCTCAAGGTTTATGTGTGTGATAGTGTGTGCATGTCACAGAGCCCACGGCTGGACAGGACTGGCTGATGGTAGGAAGGCAAAAGTGGACAAGATGTGTGTGTGAGATAGCGTAAGTGTGTTTGTAACAAAGCTTGCAGCGTGCCCCCTGGATGGGCCTCCTATCTGAAGGAGGACCAAACATATTGACAGTCCAGGGTTTGCTCCCAGGAGTAAGTGAATGCGAGTGTGTTCGGCAGCACTGGCTCCTGTCGACTGTTGGCTGCCGATACACAAGCTAGGGATTCCAAGGTGGAAAAGGTATGTGTGTGTGTCTACGTGTGTTTGAGTCCACTTGGCTATGGATGACAGGGTGCAATTTGGACGTCTCTCTGATGCACAGGCCTCCCAGTCTAGTGGCCTGAAACAGTCTCGTCTCAGATGGTCTAGTCTCGACAGACCAACTGAGGCAAGCTCACCAACCAACACCAAAAACCTTGTCCAGAAACATTTTCCATCATACCTTGGCTCCCTGTAGCCTGCCGTGTTAAATCCACAGACAACCCAGCTGTTCTGTGTGCAGCCAGAGCTTTGGTGCAATTCAATGACCTTCACTTTGATTTTCATTCATTACAATATGCAGCCCATTGCCACACTTGAAATCCAATTACTTGATCTGTAACCAATCATTAAAACAACCACTGCCCATTGCAAGCAACTGCAAGATGGTTTTATATCAAGTATCAAGTACAACTTTATAGTCAAATGTGCTGTATGTGCAGCACAGATGAAATTTCCTCCCTCTTAAACAGACAACAGACAACAAGAGGAGCCACTGCGGGTTCCCGCGCCACCATCAAAAGAACACTTAACTTATATGTCATTTCACAAACACATACAGTCCTAGTGAAAATTATTTTGATCTCATTTTGATTTGGATTTATTTCTCTCCATCTTTTAATCCGCTTATCCTCACTAGGGTCGCGGGGCATGCTGGAGCCTATCCCAGCCTTCATCGGACAGTAGGCAAGGTTGAACCGTTCACCAAAATGGAAAAAAATAGACTGCTGTATTTCATGTACTTGTTAATTTGCAAACAATGTTTTGCATCTAAGAGGATAATGAACAGATGGGTAGTGCCATTTTTATTTTGCACGATGGACGGTTTCGCTGATGCCCTTAATGTTAAAAATAAATTCTTGAACTTGCACCTCTATCCGGATCCTTGCCGAAATGTAAGAGGATGTACCCCATTAGCCCTTTATACAATTTTCTGAACAGTACGAATTAAATGACAATGTTACAACAAAGTGCTACACAGTATATATCTATATTCATGAATTCATGAAAGATGTGTATGTTCCTTTCGTTAATTATTAAGGGCACTGTCTTAATAGAAGAAAGCAAAGTAGATGCAATGGTGATGTGGCTAAGATTTTTCGGGTCAAAGTTGGCCTGCTATCATGTATTTTTACAAGATGGCTTGAATTTTATTGACCGAATTTGTGGTTGGTAGTCAAAGAAAAAAAAAGCAAATGACCACTGACCTTTAGAGTAACACAGATGACATTCAGAGCATCATTAATTTGTGGATGTTGAGTCCCATGAGCCAGCTCTTCGGATAACCAGATACCCAGACAGCACAAAGCTACACACCTAACAGAGCCAAAGAAAACATTCTGATAAGGGCACATCAGCCAATGCATATGTGTGAGATGACAAAATGTGCTGTGATTTCTACTTTTTGAAACAATTAAAAGTAATATCTTTTTTTTTAATATGTTTTAGAAACACACCATTTCACAAAGCACCTTATTGGTAGTTTGTTTTTAAGGTCCTGATAACACCAAACTAGCATTAGAAAAATCCTTGCACATGTGTATGTACCTAGCAGGAGCAGAGGGTTCGTCCCTGGCAGAGGTCAGTATTGTTTTGATAATGTGCTCCTGAAAAACAAAGCAAGACAGAAACATGCATTTAGTCAGGATCAGCTGATGTCTATCCATGAGTGTGGTACCATGACAAATTGAGAAACGGCTTTAAAGAACAACTTCATGAGATATTAATATTGCATACACAAATGCTTCATGTCCCTCTGAGCTAATGGCTGCTTAGTGATTCAAAACATTTCTGCCTCGTCCGAAAGCAAGCCTGGGATGTTGCCGCGCATGGCAATAACTATTTCCACAGCAACAACAATAAAAACATTACTGCCATTGGCTGTTTTGACTGTGGCAAGAATGACTGATGAGACATTAATCTATTAATGCGACAGCAGTGAAGAGAGGACATGCTTTGTACAAGGTTTGCACTGACTTCAACAGGCTTCAAAATGACATTTTTTATGATGTACTTTCTGCTTAGTTTTGCTTAACGGTTCGGTTGAATCTACTTTGTTGACCAGCATTGAGGGCATCACCGATGACCTCTTGTTTACCTTGACATCAGGGAACTTTCTCAGTGCCACATCAGCTGTGGTGGGGTGAAGGGCGGGGAGCTCCCCGTAAAAGTTTGGCAAACACACAAGGGATCCAAGAAGGATCTGCGCTTCGACTCTTGGAGCCTAGAGCAAGAAGGAGACACAAATTATATGGAAACCTCCTATGGCTAATTTTGATGAATTTTGGGGGATTTTCTTTTTCTCTAAAAAGTACACGATTGGTCATTGGTGTTATTTTTACAAAGTGCCCACCAATCAAAAACTGTTGAGAATGACTTGCCGTGTTCGCCAATGCAATCACTGTTTTGCTCAAGGAACATGACATTTTATAGGTTTACTGAAAAAGTGATGGGTTTTGGAGAGTCGAGGAATCCACCCAACACCAGCAAGAATACTGGAGTACCTTATATTGAGACATGTCTTTTATCGTAGAAAGGGTTCTGTCAGTCGTCATCTGTACCTGTGGGTAAAAAACAAAAAACAAAAACAAAAAAGGACGTTTCGCTTCTCTCACAGAAGCTTCGTCAGCGGTAGACAACCCTGAAGTCTCCGTGAAGACTCCGGGAAGTTGCTCTGCGCTAAAAGGCTGAGCGTGGCCTGTTTGAGGACTGGGTGGGGATGGTTAGTCACGCCCCTATGGTGAAGAGGCCCATTGGTTTCTAAACTCCCTATCATTGGGTCGAGATTTGTCGTGTTGGGTGTAAACGCAGATACCTCGTCACTATACGATACCATGTACAACACTAGCTTGTCAAACTGTATTGTGTGTGAGTTTCAATTTTATTACATTTAACGATGAGCAAGAGGTGACTCGAGAAGCTGCAATGATGAAGTCGAGAATCAACATGGTGGCTCCAGGTAGACCGATACTGAAGAACCGTGGACTGCAGTGCTTGATGATGGTGTTCACAATGTCCTAAGGTGAGAAAAATAAATCACACGCATTGAGCTGTAGTCATGGCATATTCACATTCGTGCATGTCCATGTCAAGAATTCCAAATGTTAATTAGGGCTGGTTAAAATGTTGGAGGTACCTGGTCTTGGTGCAGCAGTCCTTGGTGCATGATATTGTAGAAGTGAGTCAAAAAGTCAGTGTTTGGGGACACATCTTGCCGTCTCTTCATAATTCTGCAGATCAGCTTATAGGCATGAAGCTTTCCCTGTTTGTAACGCTCAGTCAGCATGGTGGCCTGGGTGAAAAGGCACACAAATCATCAAAGGGTGTGAGCTACTGTACTTATGAGCGCACAGGAGCAGATTAAGATAAGAATAAGAAAACCTTTATTTGTCTCACAATTGAGAAATTCCCAATTTACAGCAGCAAAGTTATGAAAGGAAGAAAGTAGAAGAACAAAAAGTATAGGAGCTGCTGTTAAGGCAGCCACTCTCGCGGCGCCATCTTGAAGTCATAATAACATTCATTCATCTTCCGAACCGCTTGATCCTCACTAGGGTCGCGGGGGGTGCTGGAGCCCATCCCAGCTGTCTTCGGGCAGTAGGCGGGGGACACCCTGAATCGGTTGCCAGCCAATCGCAGGGCACACAGAGACGAACAACCAACCACGCTCACATTCACACCTAGGGACAACTTAGAGTGTTCAATCAGCCTACCATGCATGTTTTTGGAATGTGGGAGGAAACCGGAGTACCCGGAGAAAACCCACGCAGGCCCGGGGAGAACATGCAAACTCCACACAGGGAGGCCGGAGCTGGAATTGAACCCGATACCTCTGCACTGTGAAGTCGACGTGCTAACCACTGGACTACCGGGCCGCCCCTCATAATAACATAATAAACAAATAACATCTATTTCTTGATTGATTCCCTAAACTTATAGTACTTGTTATTGGAGTGAATATTAAGGGCCCATGGCAACTTTTCAGTCCTACTTACCTTAAAGAGCCACGGAGTGAGGATTCTAAGAGGCGGGATCAGAACAGGAGGTGGTGGAGATGACTGGTTATCATGAGAAATGCCCAAATTATCTCTGATCTGAAAATAATTAACTGAATTAGGAGTTGAGCCATTTCAGCATGCGACTTTAGCGTCTCTTTCCGTACCTTCACAAGGTTTTGCCACAGTTCACACAGGTAGTCAAACACCTGAGCGTGGATCTCTGGGTCTTTGATGCTATTCACATCTCCCAAGATACCCAGCATTCTCCGCCACATGACTGTGGCAACATCTGCATGCCATCCAGTCAGGGAGCCACCTGCCATGACACTACAGTCCTCACCGGGGAACTCAGTGGTTTCTACGAAAAAAAAAAGCCAATCAATCATCAACCTCACTTTTACTTGACAAAACTAACAGAAAAAAAAACAATGAATATATTTCTGAAAAAAGTGTGCTAGTATTTTTACCAAAATCATCAGGAGTCTGCAGCACTGAGTTGTGGAGTTTTTGATCCAGCTGCAAGTGGGTGTGTGAGTGAGAGGGTGTGCGAGCAATGTGCTCTGCTGTCAGTGTAGCTGGGGAAGGCGTCTGGGACCGAGAGCCCCCGAGAGAATGCATGGGAGATGCACTCTCGGAACCTTGACATGAAAAGAACACCCCAAACAAACACATTAGTTTAGAACCAATGCACTGAAACTATGTTTTAAAGAATACACAACAAATAATAGAAGAGTGAAGAACGATATAAACGCCTCAGATGTATATTTTAAAGGGATGACCACAATTGAATGTACAAACCAGTGACAGTGACTGTGTGGCTAAGGCTACTGGTCTCAGAGTCAATATGAAGTGTAGTCAAACTTGCAACTTCATGTTCATCACATGCAACACCACCTCCCAGACTGTCCTGGTCCATTGAGCTTCCTCGATCTCCACCGCCGCAGGGTTCAGAGTTAAATGCAAAGTCTATACAAAGGAAAAGTGGAATATACACACACACACGAACATTCTAACTTTCAAGCTACAGCAAAAAAGTGTGTTAAAAGAGTCAAAAGCAGTACAAATTTGAAACCCAATACGAAAATACCTAGAATGAATTTTTGTGAAAAATAATGAGCTTAGCAGAAATCCGGCAAAACTATTGGATATTGCGAGTGATGTGATCTCCAGTTGTTGGACATGACTTTGCACTGATGGTTGGCATGTAATTTATGAACAAGATAAAATATCGACTCTAACATGAGCTTGAACTGTCAGATTTGAATGATTCAACACTCAGAATGTGGCCACAGAATGGTGGCTGTACTGTAGGTCTACCTTTTTTTGTGTCATTTATATAACTTAATTGCTCATAAACAAATAGTGGGACCTCTACTTACGAACGTCTCTTCATATGAAATTTTCAAGTTACAAAACGCCTCAACAGGAAAATATTGCCTCTTGTTACGAGAGAAATCTTGATACGAAAGGTAAAAATAGAGTATGGGCTGCTACTCACATCTCCTAGTTTCCTGAACGCAACGAATTTATAGCTGCTCTGCATTTGACGATTATCGAGCATTTTCCTGGCATCCCATTGGCTAAGAAGTACCTCTAACCGAATGTGTTTATGTGTGTAGATAGATATGTGTTGATGCAGCGTGCTCGTCATTCGACCCTCGAGCCATGAGGAGTACCGATAGTTTTTCATAAATGTGAATCACCCAGAAAAAGTGTTCACCAGTCGGGCGATCGCTCACTTTGCTGTTTGCCTTGGACATTTTGGAAGGATTGTTAAAAGCCGACAAAAGCAAACGTCCTTGGATCAGTTCTTTACAAAACGCCAGACAAAAAACAATTCTGAGAGAGAACCTGGACTAAAAACGGCAAAAAACGATGCGGACGCAGTTAAAAGTTAAATGACCATCATTTTCATTCTTGATTCTATTCTTTGTTTTTAACATTATGCACAACTCTCATTGACAATAAAGTTGTATCCAATCCAATCCACTTAAATCCAATTTATTGTGCAATAATCTAATCGTAACATGTATTTGTTCCATATTTTGATGCTTTAGAAAATATTTATGTGAGAATTTTTTTGGGGAGCGGGCTTGGAACGGATTAGGTCATTTACATGGAAAACCCGTCTCGACTTCCAAAATTTTCTACTGAAGAAATTTCTTCCAGAACCAATTAATTTCGTAAGTAAAGGTATCACTGTACGATGTAACATAACACCCTTCTCGGTACTGTATTACCAAACAAGGACAGAAATTGTGAAGCTGCATTTTTAGGTAACTGTGGGGTGCTTTATGACTGCTAATTCCTTTTCAAATAATTGTCAAAGGTTAAAAGTAAACAAAGTTTTCACTCACTATCAAACTTGCACGCAGGGTATTGAAAAGCATTAAATGAGTCAGATTGGCTGTCAGAACTGACAACATCTGAGCCACTGGCACTGGCAGGAGATGTCCACTCTGAAGGAACCCCTGGATCATCAATTGGTCTGAGGTCATCTGGGGGTCGAGATCCAGGACTTTGACCGGCCTCTAGTAGCTCCGGCAGGTCCTGTGGAACTTCGAGACTACCTGGGCTGCTGCCACGGCGCTCCTGTACATAGAGGAAAAAGAGTCGTCACAACTTAAGCAAATGAACTTTGGTGCTTAACCTTGAATAAAAACAAACATGAGACATTTTTGCGTGCACTTTTGGATACTGACCACTGTTCCTTTAGCTCTGAGTCTTTCCTGGATGAACTCATCCATGAGATCAGAGAAATTAGGATTGCTGTTTCCAACATCGGTGGAGACTGGACGTGCCTTCTGCAGCACCTCCTCTTTGTTGGCTACACACAAATGGAGAGAGAGAAATTTACCTAAAGCATGGAGCCATGATTATCTGGCACACATCCTGTTTAGTTAACGTTAACACTGAGTAAACGACGACTAAGATAATTATGTAGCCGATATTGACTGTGACAATAATACAAGCATGGTAACATAACCGGTATGTTGTGGAGGAGAAATAATGCAATTGTTACACTGACATTACACTTCAATAAAAATGGGAAAATATGCAAGCTAGGGTGTCAGAGTAACCCTAATGTATATGTATGGGAAGCCCTCGAGTAAGTGAATTACCAATTGTTAAAAAAAAAATTAAAAAAAAAAACCAAAAGCCACAACACAGCAGGCAAACCCACCAGAGAAGCAATGCAGTTAATACACACCACCATGCACAAAGAGCAAGTTTACATTGTGACGCTACCAGAAAAAATAAAAATAAAAATAAGGCAGCATATTGTCAAATTCGGTTTTGTTCCAATGACGCATACATAGTTTATGATAGCAGAGCCATCGTGCATTCACTAATTGTGGTGAAATGAAAATCCAAATGACAGATAGGGGTCATTAACTAACACGGGTGGGCAAACTTCCGTGCTTCAGCGCCACATTTGATTTTTCAAACAGATATATGGGCCGCGTATGAAATGGTGAAAATCTGTCTTCACAATATTTGGTTTATTTTAAACACTGGACGATTTATGGTCAACAGTAACATTTGGCAAATTAAAATATAACATTTACCATTGCATTTATTTTATTCAATAATTAGACATTTCTAATTAATTTAACCATAAACATGTTAACTGAGATAAATGAATTAAAAACAATTATAATTAATTTTAGAAGGGAAACACAACTAAATCAATCCAATACAGCAGTTTACAGCAGCTTAGTACTGACAACCAACCACACAGTCACCCTGGACAGGCACACAATGAACGCGAGAGGTCCTTTTCCAATGTGGCCCTCCTGTGGAATGATCCAGAGAGGTCAATCATTTTACAGAACGTAGCAGCTAACGTAGCACTTACTTTTCAAAGAGTAGTGTTATCTGAAGCATTTAGAATTCATTAAATGATCTCCCCATTAATTTTGCTTGGATAACTATGGGTAGTGTAGTTCAGTAAAGAATTCTAAACAACAAAGTTGATGAGAATCAAAGCATCAACAGCAACTGGGAGTGTAGTATCTTGATAAATGATGAATCCAGAGTTGCCAATCCGCATATCCACCATGTGAGCAAAATTTTTGATGGAATGATCAGGCACCGAGAATTAGGCAGTGGCATATGGCAAGTAAGTGTCTGCCCTATTTTGGGAAGTTTTTTTGTGGGAGTTTTGGAAGCCATTCATCAAGGCCAATTGTTAGGTCACATTTTATCGATGCTGTAGTTCATCACAAAGTGTTTGATGGGATTGAGGTATGTCATTCAAAGTCACCCAAGCATGCCTTCATGGACTGAAATATGAATGTGCCCCCCAGTTTTTGTCCCTGTAGTGTCCCTACTTTGTAAATGTGAGCCATAGCCTGTGGGTAACGTATTTTGATAGTAGCCAACTAAATTTAAATATTAGTTTGGAAAATGGATGGAGTATAGAGTCATGCCAATGTTTAGTGAAATGATGCTTACAGTTAGTACAGGTGCCTTAAGAACTCATGGAACCATCAAAACTCACAGATAGAACAAAATTCAAACAAACCGCCATACAAAAAACCACAGTGAAAACCTGTAACCACTGTAAATAGCACAGCCACCTTACGCTGTCTTTTCTATGCTATTGCTGTTTATTTATTCTACAAATATATTGCTAATGCTTTATTTTATATTGCACTTATATTGAACTGTGTACAGTTCTTTTCTGAAACATTAATTTTGTGCAATGAAACACTTTATCCCCCCACCCCCAATCTTGCTGCTATAGACTGCAAATTTCCCCAGTGTGGGATGAATAAAAGTTATCTTATCTTATAGCAAATCAAGAAAATATATGCCGTTATCTTATCTTATCTTATAGCAAATCAAGAAAATATATGCCAACTACGTCTATATATCAAAACTTTCATGTAATAATAAAAAATAAATAAAATAAAATAAAGGGAACTTACTGTGGTATCATGCACATGAGACACCAATTAAATGGATAAATAGATGACTGGAAAAATAATTTTTGGCACAAATCGGCAAAGAAAACATGTGAGACAGAGTAAATGTGTGAATCGCGGTGACATGAATGAGTCACCGTGTACAAGTATACCATCTAATCGTTTAAGAAAATAATAGATAGATAGATAGATAGATAGATAGATAGATAGATAGATAGATAGATAGATAGATAGATAGATAGCTAGATAGCTAGCTAGCTAGCTTTTGGATCCATTTACATTTCTGCGTGCCACAAATTGAGGATGCCATTAGTCACGCGACAGATTTACGTTGCATTATAGCGGTTCAGGAGGGAACTACAAAAGTATGTTGGGAAAGTTGCTAAGTATAATTAAAGCAAATATCATTTCACCCTACTCTAACTTATAAAACATAAAAACAAAAAACAAAAATGTCACCGAAATATGGTGTAAAAAGGTGAACACAATGCAACAATTGGAAGACCTATAATGGGGTTGTATGTTTTGGAAAAAAAAAAGTGGACTGTTGTTTCCTTCTGTGGAGCTGAGGCAGTCCTGGAAGGAGGTGAGGTAGGCACAAGGTCACATGCAATTTTATGGCGAGCGGGGGAGGAGACTGGGGAAGAAAGGAGGACATCAAATTTCCACAACCCTTAGGAGGAGGACAGCAAGAGGAGAGGGCCTCTGAGATAGGGGGACAGGTGGAAAGTTATGGGAGGAGGGGTCTTCAGTAGGTGGCAGGCTGAAGGAGGGGCTCACGTTCAAGAGGAAAAAAACACTTTCAGTCCAGTAGCAAGATGATGAGTTTCAGCCAAAATGAATGTCATTCCATCATAACAAACCAGTTAAACAGCCACAAAGGAAAAAATGGTTGTTGATGTTTGTGTTTTGTGAGTATTTGTCTTTTCCACTGGTGTTGGACTGTTGTTGTGCCCGTTGTGAGCACTTTGTCCACTGCGATCCTCACCTGCCGTGGTAGACTTTCGTCCAAAGTAGCCCAGGACATGGGAGTAGAGGTCTCTTAGTGAAGCATCACCCATTGCAGCCCGCCCTTGCCGCTGTGGCGACGAACCTTGGGATGACCCCTGACCTCGCGGGCGGGGCTTGGCGGACAAAGCATGAACCACAGTCTTATACACCCCGCCAAGAAGAGCCCCTTGGTGGTGTTTGGAGACAGAGCTGCCGGGTTCCTGGGAGCGAGAGCGGGAAGCCCGAGAACGCAAGGCCGACCGTCCCAATCGGCCTCGCACGCCTGATGACGCACCGGAACTGCTTGTTATGGCCTCGAAGTGGGTCTCGTGCACCGAATTGGATCCCGCGCATGATCCTGGATGCTGAGGTTTGTCCTTGTCCCCTGCTCCAGTGCCAGTCCTGTTTTCCTGATCAACACCCGATGTACCGTGGGCCCTAGTGACATCTGCTGGCAGTCTCTCATGGCCCCCTACTTTGTGACCAACAGCAGCCACAGAGGCAAACTTACCTGCACTGCCTGCTCCCTGCTTCCCCCCTGCTCCTGTCCCAGCTCCTGGCCTCTCACCAGCAGTGTGGCTGTGAGTGTGAAAGTGACTAAGCCGACGCAGCCTGGCTTTCCAGTGGGCCTCTTTATTCTCAAGGGGGTTGTGGAACTGGACTGACTCAGTGGAAGGTCTGAAGCTCACATGGACAGCACCAGAATGATGCTTTTTTGTGTTACGGGACATCTTGGGCTTGGCTGAGTCAGACGCTTGGGGAGTTTCAATTGCTTCGCAGGTAGATTCGACTGTGTAAGGGTCTGGTCTCGTTAAGTAGTGCCTTTTGATTGTGGCTGCGTCTTTTTCAGCATTTTTGTCTCCTCCTATTTCCCTCCAATAATCACCTTTTCCTTCCCATTCTCCTCCTCCTGTTGCGTTTCCTCCACCTACTTCCCTTTTGCCTTTCTCATCACTGCTCCCTTTCGCACCAAGCGAGGGCCACTGACACTGCATTTCAAGGCACTCGTAAATGCTCCGCTGTTCTGCCTCAATCTCCTCTGCTGCGTCAACATTATTGTCTCGAATTGAATTACTTACCTGCCTATCTTCCTTAGAAATCTGCCTGTCAACCACCTTTTGTGTCTCTCGTATAAAATCTGTTTCCCCTGTTGTCATAACAGTTTTCACTGGTACAGAAGTTCGAATGTCGTTTTCAAAGGCAAGACTCGCTGCCAATCTTGCCGCTTCATTTCGCTCAGCGGCTTTGTTAGTGAGATAGTCCCTAATTGAGGAGAATAAATCATCCTCATTTGGTACAGCGCCTACTTCATTCTCCTCGACATCAATCTCCTTATCGGCAGAAAATGTAAAGGCAGAATCCCAGTCGCTTACCCAATCTGAACTTGAACCTCGGCTTTGACAGCCAATATGATCGCACTCACTCACATCATTTAGTCCCTCTGAGGTTGAGGAAACAACACCATTGGGGAATGTAAGGGGGGTAGGACAGGACGAGCGGAAAGGACATGGGAGTGGTTGAGCCGCATCGCTATTGCTTGCAAGTAAGCTAGTATCAGTGAGGTGATGGGGGTTTGGGATGGTACTGGGATCCCCTTGTGGGTCTTCACCTTTGACCCGTTCGGCGATAAAAGGCTCCATGATGTCAGAGGCACTGCTGCTCCTTGCAAGCGATGAAGGGGCCGGGTTATCCGGATCACAAGGCCCTCCCTGGAACACCTCCGAACAGGAGGTCGGAGGGGTCTCATCGCTCTGGGAAGAGTGGCGCATCCGAGATGGGCGGGATGTCAGCGTGATTGGCGAGTCCTCAAGGTCTGGTAAATAGGCAGATAATGATATATTGGTACTACATTCAGAAACAAACACATACAAAAGAGAACAACACACATCTATCAAAACATGAAAATGTTTTTACACACACACACGCACACACACACACACACACACACACACACAAGATGGGATTGGCAATGTCTTCTCACTTTTCGTGAGTGACACGTTCCGAGTGCTCTCTCCCTTGCAATAGGTGAATTGTAACTAAATAGAGGGTGGCTTAAAACATGAAATAATTTAAAAAAAATTATCTGGGGGAATTTACACCTCCATAAGCCATTATGAACGACCTCCACAAGGTTCCCCACCCTTCTAAACATTTGTTACACTCAATAAATGTAACTTTTAAATTGCAAACTGAAGAATAAATACCGAGCTGCAGGTTATTGTAAGCGGAGCATGCGCTGCACAAATTTCTCCCCCCAAAGTAATTTAAAATTAAAATAAACAAATATTTATTGACTGGTCCGCCTTAGAAGTGAGAAAAATCAGAAGAAAACCTGCAAAATGGTGTGGTCCAAACTGCTACAGATGAAGTTATGGTCACAAATGAATATCTGCGATAAAGTGAATCCATAATAACGGAACAGCAAAGTAGCGAGGGACCAATGTCCATGCCACATGACCTGTCATTGAATTTCATTGAATATCTGAGCATACAGACACTTTTACTCCAAGTTACTGTTTCAAAAAAAGAAAAACAACAACAACAACAAAAACATCTGAACATTTTGTTTTAGAAAGCGGGAGGGATTACATCATGTGATTTTATTTAAAGTCACATGATCCAAAAGGTTAATTTCATGGTCAAATTATAGGTCAAAAGGTCAAGTTACTAAAAATTGCACCAATCTTCTGAATGCAAGAATCCTTGTTCAATTCCCTTTCCAGCAATACCAGTTTTGGGAAGATTGACGCAGTAGTTCCTGAAATATGAGGGTTCAAAGGAAGGTGGCCACGCCCCTTTATGGTGAAAATGTAAAAATTCGACAGGCCGTAGCGCCTAAAGCTCTGCTCTGAGCGAGTGACCTAAAATTTGAGATTTAGTATTGTGCCACTGCTATCAACTAGTACACCAAGTTTAATTAAAATCATAATCTTGGTGAAACCCACTGGGTGATTTGGCATGGATGTACAAGTTTTTTAATTTGTTGCACGCTTTTGCTGTCGTGATGTGCTGTTTGGCAGTAATAATTATGTTTTTGATGATTTAAAACTGGGCGAAAACACATCAAACAGACATGAAAAGGATTTTTTTTTTCGGGGACATGTCACCAACCCTTTTGAAACTGGGAGCTAGTGCTAGCTAAATCTACAAAAGTTGGGAGAAATATCTAACAGCCAAAGCCCTTCAAAAAAAAGTCTTTTGGAGACAAAGATTGGTGACGTCCCATGATCAAAACCCCTAACCGGGCAAGGAGAAACGTTGAGAAGTGACCACTGATAAGGGTCTAAACGTGCAAAAACTAACTTTGCACACATCAGGCATGGCAAAAAATTTACATCAGGGGTTGATTGTGTCCACCCATCCATCCATCCATTGTCTGAACGACTTTATCCTCACGAGTGTGCTGCAGCCTATCTCAGCCGTCATCGGGCACTAGGCGGGGGACACCCTGAACTGGTTACCAGCCAATCCAGCAGGGCACACATAAACGAACAACACATTGCACTCACAGTCACACCTAGGGACAATATAGAGTGTTCCGTTAACCTGCCATGCATGTTTTTGGAATGCGGGAGGAAACGGGAGTACCCAGAGAAAGCCCACGCAGGCATGGGGAGAACATGCAAACTCCACTCAGGGAGGCCGGAGCCGCAATTGAACCAGGCACCTCTGCTCTGTGAGATCGGCGTGTTAGCCAGTCATCCACCATGCCGCCCGGTTAATATACAGTATACTAATGTGCCAGTACCACAACATGGCAAGAGTTGCGAGGGCCCGTTAAGCTCAAGCATGGACACATGCACCTTCAGCTACGAACAGCTAGGGAAGACAACGTTGCAAACCAAGTCTTTACTCATGTCTCATGAAGCAAAGGGTCAAATGACTCATTAAAACTAATTTCATGAGACCAGCAATATCACCTAAGACCCTAGTGGAAATCAATCAAAGACATTTAGCAAACACATAAAGACTAAATGAAAGTGAAAACATGCATCCGTGTGAGTTGGCATGCAAGATAAAGATATATACCATCACTTCATTTCTAAATGCCCCTAAACCAGGCCACAAACAAGTGGAAAGGGTGAATAACGTTCAGTCATTCTTGATGAACTAGGAACAGTCAGTCCATTGCTTTACGAATACAAAAGGGAGAAACTAAAATATACAAATAACATTTCTTTGACAGATGTGTGAAGACTTCAGGCACACAGCAGGCAGAAGGCAGGCAGTCGGGAAGTGCAAAGAGCGTGTACCTGCCAGCTGGTCGGCAAGGGGGGGTAGTAAAGGGTGGTGGTGGTGGAGAAGGACAGGAAGAGGCGGAGCCAGAGCAGGAGCACTCTTGGCACTGCGGATAAAGGCTGAGGAGAGCAGAGAGTCCCCTGTAGAACAGCTTCGCAGGGCTGAAGAGGTCGGAAGTACAGGTAGAAGGTATACAAAAGAAAGTGAAGAGGGTCAGGAAAGTAGGAAGAGAAATAAGGAACGTGTTTGGAAAAAGTCAATGGAAAAGAAAAATGGGTGGAAAGTGAAGTGAAAAGAAAGGGAAGGTGAAGGGAGGAGTGAGCGAGGGTTCACTCTGGAACAGGAATAGTGAGAGGCAGGTGGCAGCTGGTATGTCCTCTGCAAAGCCCTGAACAAAGTTAGCTTAAAAAAAGAGCTGAAGCTACAGTAACAAAAAATGAAAATAATATCTCTACACCTACACAAAGGTGTGAGCACATCTCATAGGAAATCTGAACAAGGCTGCTTCTCTCAACACAAAAATCACATAATTACCTTTTCGGAAATGAACGTGAGATTTATGAAAGCTCTAGCCACCCTTACAACAATCTGCCCCCCCCCCCCCACCGCCCAACCAAGAATGTAGTCTGACATTGTCCAGAGTGTTGTATCAACAACAACAAATTGTTATTAGTCTTACATCCATCCAAAATTAATAACATAGAAAACATCTACCAGTAAGCAATGTTAATATGAACATTTTCCATAAAGTTTTAATACATTTTGAACACTGAATTCCACATTAAAAACACCCTGCATTTTTTCAAAAAACAGAAAAAGTTTATTGTATGCAGCATATACAGTTTATTTTTATTTCAAGGCCATCTGTAGCATTATTCATGTTATTATCGAAATCAGGAGCATCTATCAGCCAACAAGCCCACACCCTCACTCAATGCCATCAGCGAGTTGGTGGATGCAATGTGAAAGTAATGTTGTGGTTGGAATGGAATCATTTTTAATGCCAACACAATACTTGTTTGGGTACAAATTTTTCTACAATGCCAAAACGCATTTTTATTGTCAAACCATAATGGGAATATTCTGGCATCATACGCTAGGAAGGTGCGCATCTGGCAAATTGTGCGTGAGCCATGCGCAAGAAGTTGGTTGGCTGGACAGGTTGACGTTACTCGGCGATGCCTGGGGATGAATGCCAGGCAATTCTGGCGGATCTCCCCAGCTAGGCTGCCCACTGGATTCAGCTGTTAGCCTGCAGGCACCAGCCGGGACCACCAGAAAGGGCTCTGGAAATCCGCATTCAGGATCCAATGTACTCACATGCACCATTGTACTCCCGCCTCTCAGTTACAAATTAAAATTGTTTAACTATATGAAGCTGGAGCTTAGTTTGACTTGTATTTAAATTAAAGCAGGAGACTGTTGAGCCCCTCCTAACAGATTCATCTCTGGCTAAAACCTTAAAATTGCTGACATAAAATATTTTCCTTGTATTGATTTTTTTTTTTTCAGTAAATTTTATATTATTTTAAGGCAATGTCAAATTTATGTCTGTTCCAAAACCTAGTTTTAAACAGTGGACTCACGCTCATGGAAGTTTCAGACTGATAATGACTCAAAAGGTCAAAAAATGCTGGGACAACTCAGCATTCTTCGATCCAATCAAAAGTTTGTAGCCACGGCTGAATGACTTGAATAAAAACATTTCAATGAACACACACCAAAAAGCCAAAAATGAAATAATGAGGGCAGACTTGAAGTCAAAAGGCAACTTGAGAAGCGATACATTTAGCTGTTGAGTAGCGAACAGGAAATTAACTTCCATTGGCATGGAAACTCCATAGCTATTCCTGCTATGATGACAATGTTTCTGAAACATGAAAGAAAGTCATTTGTGTATGTTTTATGATGACTGAAAACGGCAAAGCTATTTTGTCAAATTGCTCTAAGAGTCAGGGACCCATGCTGGTGTGCTCTGCAATGAATCTGACCACCCCGAAAGATAAGAATGAAGAGGCCGTTCATTCATCAGGCGAGATACTCACCTACAGTCTTTTGGCGGACAATGCTCCGGGCCTTTTCGATGCCTGGCGAACCAGCTGTGGTGGCACTACGTTGTCTCATGGCAGCTGCCTGACCTGGTTGGTCTCTGCTCCACCCTTTAGAGAAGGAACGATCCACTATCTGCCGCTGACCTTCTGAACCGATACCTGAGGCATTGTGAGAATATTCGAAGTACATAGTCAAACATCCTGATGAAAAAGGCCAAAAGAATGCACTTAACATCTGCCGCTATTCGAATGTTGAGAGTTCTCTGTGCCTTTTCAACAGAAATAATGGCTCTGAGTGATAGTCTCACCTTTGCCTTTGTGTTTCTTCTGTTTTTGCTCACTGAGCTTGTCCAGGGGTAGTTCATTCAAATCAACACTGTACAGGTTCCTGGCCAACACCTAAGCCGCAACAGTACACAGGCTTGAAGTATCGAGCTAGTGTGACACAAGGTAACAGCTCGCGCTGAAAGATATATGCAGTTGTACCTCTACTTAACGAACATCTCTTCATACGAAATGTTCAAGTTACGAAATGGCTCAACAAGAAAATATTGCCTCTTGTTACAAAAGAAATTTCAAGATACGAAAGTTAAAAATACAGTTTGGGCTTCTACACGCAGCTCCGAGTTTCCTGAACGCAGCATACATATAGCTGCTCTGCCATGGGCGATTACCGAGCATCTTCCAGGCATCCGCAGTGGCTAAAAGGGACTTCGACCGTGTGTGTCTAAGTGTGTAGATAGATAGATAAGTGTCTATGCAGCGTCCTCTTCATTCGACTCTCGGGCCAGGAGGCGTTCCGATAGCTTTACGAAAATGCGAATCACCCAGAAAAAGTGTTCACCAGTCCGGCGATCGCTCACTATACTGAGCCGACAAAAGCAAACGTCTTTGTATCAGTTCTTTACAAAATACACTTCTGAGAGAGAACGTGAACTAAAGAGGGCCAAAAACGACGATGATGCAGTTAAAAGACAGTCATTTTTATTCTTTACTCTATTCTTTGTTTTTTTACATTGTGCACAGCTCTCATTTATTGTGCAATGATCTAACTGTAACATGTATTTGTTACATACAACTGATACACCCCCACTGCAAGAAGGAGATGTACCGCCGCTCGTTCCTGCCGACTGCTGTCAGGCTACTGAATAGACAGTCCTGAAAACCTGGACTCACCCCCATTCACCCATTTTTAATATGCTTATATTTATATTTATTTTAGAACTGTCAAACGATTAAAATATTTAATCTAATTAAAAATGCAACTGTCATAATTAACTCAAATTCACTAAAAAAAATCGTGATTACGCACAAATTTTTGATCGTTTCTTAATTTCCTTTTAGATTTTTTTGTCCTATTTTTCCCCATTTTAATGATCTCATCAACGTGGAATCATGAATCAGTTTTCTATGTGCAAAATGCAAATACTTACTGAAATAATTTGGATTTTCAATTTTACATGAACATTTTTCACTTGGAGCAGTTATTCACACATAATCTCTCACACAATATTACTGTCCATCAACAACAGTGAAAAAAATATTTTGTCACACAACAGCTGCTTTAACAGCTCTTTTTATGGAATCAAAACAGAGCAATATAACATTATAAAGTGCACATCTAAGGTAAACTAGTACTCAGCCTGTAGTGGATTCAAGCCATGGTTGCATACTTCGTTTTTCTCAAGTTTGCTTTGAACACAGCAGTCAGGCTATGTTGATTCTGTTGGTCCTTCTTGCGCGGAAGTCTCTCTACGGTTTTGTGTAGACACCATTTCGGATGACTGCACTTGGTTTGATGACAACACTGGAGACGTTTTATTTTCGCAAGGTCGCTACCACTACACCGCTGAACTTTCATTGTCATGTCACCGCCTCTGCACACCGTCACTGTCAGACGAACACAGAGAAGCTCCACCCGCTTTATTTATATGGACACGGAACATGGTAACCTTCCACACAAAATAGTTCCAAACAAGTAACAATCGCGTCAGTGGCATACGTCGTATTCGACAGGCTGCCTGCTCTTTATTCACCAGAGGCTCATCAACCTAGTCTCTTATTTCTCTCCCGAAACAGTGTCTTCTCCCGCTTGGTATACCTTAGCCTTCTCCGCTACGTACAATCTCTACACAGCTTGTAATGGAGGCTCTCGCTGGCAATCTGTAGTGGAGTCGTTAGATGCACTGCGAATGATTTCAGCTTGAGTAGAGCTGTGGACAATGTTGACAGGCTTGCATGCAGTATCCATACATTTAGCTATGGCTTCAGCAAATTTGTTCATCGTCGTGTCATCCATTTTCTTCGCTTTGAAATGATCCATAGCTGTCTGTCTGAGACGAGGGGCCGGAGTACTCACATCAGCTGTGTGCTTGGCCATTAAGTGGTATTTCAGACTCGACGTGCAATGATGATAGCTCAGTTTACGACTGCAAAACATACAGGTGACTTTGGTCTTGTCAGTGGAGCAATCTGGCAACTTTTTAAAAGTAAACTTTCCATTCATAAACTCTAAGTATCCGTTTTCGGTGTCTCGCGCTGCCGTGGCTGGCAAAACAAACGTGCGTGGACCGATGTAGCGCGCTTGTTGTTTTGTTTCTGGTTTATTTATTGAGCAACGTAACATCCGCTGTGACGTCTGCCGCGTTAATCTCGCGAGAAAAAATTTAACCCCATTAAAATTCATTTAAATTAATGCCAATAAAAACGCACTAAACTGACAGCTCTAATTTATTTATATACTTTTTGTCTTCTACTTTCTCCCTTTCATAATGTTGCTGCTGTAAATTGGGAATTTCTCCATTGTGAGACAAATAAAGGTTATCTTATCTTCTTATCTTAGCTTATATTTTGATGAATTCTTATGCTTTAGAAAACATTTATGTCTGAATTTTGGGGGGCGCTTGGAACGGATTAGGGCATTTACATGGAAAACGTCTTTTCACTTACAAAATTTTCTAGTGAAGAAATTTCTTCCAGAGCCAATTAATTTCGTAAGTAGAGGTACCACTGTATTCCAAGTGAAATGAGTTTCTTCTTTTACCTTTGTAAGAGTCTCCATCGTGAGGGACCATTCAGTTACCAGCTCCTCCCAGCATGTAAGAGAAGCGAGGACTGAGAGGAGGTCATCCCACAGTTCTCTGCTGATGTAGACGTTTAAATTCCCCTTAATCCAGGCTACGATCAATGTCTGTGCAGAGAGAGTGATGAAATATAATCAAGGTCATCTTAGAAAGAATGTAAGTTGAAAGCACTTTTTTTTTTTTTTTTTGGTGCCATTTTGATGACAGCTCCACCCGGCCCCTCCCCTCTGGTCTCCGGCTTGTGCTGAGTATTCAGTACCTGAAAGATAGGACCAGCCAGCCTTCCCGACAGTGTGTTATTCTTCTTGCCCTGGGGCATAATAGATGGAGGTCTCTTCATCACTGACTCTGTCACTCTCAGTAGAACAAGTAAGATCTGCTCCCTACCAAGAAAAGTTCACCCATCCATCCATAAATAATGAGACAAAATATGTTTAAACATAGAAGCAAGTAGATCTCACGGATGCACTTTCATTCTTGAGCAATGTATTTTCACACGTAGTGAATGAAGAAATATTAAATATCAATGGATTATGCTGACATGAAGCTGTAATGTTATACTTTTTTGCCATTAGCAAGTGACGACATAATGTGTCCATCTTTTGTCATTACCATGTTTTCTGGTCCATGGTCTCATGCATAACAAGGCTGCGGTAGATGTTTAAGACTCGCTTGCACATGTCGACGTGCTCCTCTAAAAGGAACTTGATATCGTTGGCTGGCTCCAATAAAAAAACGTTGGATGAATGGGTAATAAATACCTAAAGGGAAGACAGGTTATGCCATGTAGATCCACCAAGCACAGTTTAACAATGTATTTTTCGGACTTGTGATCAGTATGTGTATTTTTGTTTGAGATCCATACCTGTAGTGTAGTCTGAACTCCTGCGTGAACGCTATACTCCAACAATTCGCTATCAATCATTTTATTTAGTCCCTTAGAAGAGGAAAAAATATGCAGACAATTTAAAATAATATAATTGAGTCTTGCCCAATGAAAAATATATCTTAATATAAGATTTTTCAATCACAGATCGCAATTTTAGTGGGCGCGCATATATATATATATATATATATATATATATGTTTCTGAGCTGGTGTTGTTTGTGTACATTAATTTCTAAACATAGATTGTATATGACTGTATGATGTCATGTACTGACTTGGTCAAGAAATAAGGAACAGTTTACCATTTGAAAAAAATGTGCTGAAATAACACTAGTCAACACATTTTTAAGACATTCTTAATCAGAGATGCAATTAAAATTTTACAGATTAATTTTTGGGATTGATTCAAAATGTGCCATAGTTTTGTTTTTTTTTTTTAACGAGCACATCAGGTTTTCATAATATTATTAATATATTATGATTAATAATAACAATACTATAACATACAATATAGGAATATATTTAGTCATATTTTTGAAGGGGGAAGTTTTATCAACAGGTGGAATTTTTTTCTGAAACAACGCAGTATAAAATCCGTATTGTGCAAGCTTTTATAGGTAAAATGAAAATAATGTTCCTCAAATACCTGAAGTGCTTGAAAAAATATCAATAAAAATAATAATGCATCCAAGTCATCAGCGTCAAAAAATATTTTAAGGGACACATAAACCCATTTCTGATTCAAATTTTCGACTTACCAGTGCAATGGTTACCTCGAAATAGTTGTATTATTCCATACACTACAAAATGCAGTTTTTTCTGATAAGCAAAATAAAAAGGTCATTTTGAGAGAGCAAAAAAAATGTTCCAACCAAAAATGTACTAGACCGTGGTCCAAAAAGCAAGGGTTACTTGCACCGTTCAACCGATAATTAATACATGACTGTTTAAATCTCATTTGGCACCTCATCATCCTTCTCTGAGCCAGTGTCCATACTACCGGCTGTTGCTATGGGATACGGTCCCTCCTCTGGCTCCTTCATGAATACTGGCTTGTCCTCCATGGAGATCCACTCCTGGTAAACACGGACCACTTTCCGCATTGCTGCAGCTTCACACATCGGAAGGAGAAATGCCTGCAGTGGTCGCGAGACAAGTGTCAACCATTCATATGTAGTCATGCATGTTTTCTGCATTGTCCAACATTCTCAACTAGGGAGAAAATTGCTCCTTCACCTGTCTGAAGATCTCACTGATGAAGTTGATGCTGGTTCTGGAGCTGGTCAGGACTCTCCTCACGACCTCCATATCAGTCAGCTGCTCTTCATCCATAGAGCAGAGTGAGGAAGAACTGGGCTCCCTCTCTGTTAATGTGGATGTGTTGGAGTGGCATTGTTCCGATTCCCCCATTGGACCAGTAGCCCCACCAAGGCCCATGCTGCCTCCCCCCTGACCAGATAAGCTTCCGCTCCCTTCAAGATGGTTGTCAGGGCGCAATCCAGTGATGCTGCCGTCATCTGAGCTGCCAGCAGACCGAGCAGCAAGCCCGGCTGCTGCTCGCTGTGGATGAGATCAAAATTGTAACCCTTTTCATGAGTGTTTGTTTATTTCAGTGTCTTATTTCAGAAGTCGGTATCTACTGCAGTTACACTTACTCCTAGTAAAGTCTGGATTGTCTCTGTAGGTTCGAGTGCCTAATTATAATTGCCCGCTTCACTCAGATATTATTGACGACCAATTAACGTGTACTTTTCAAGTGACACACATTCAATATTACTGTGTTTCCATTCACAGAACATATAAAACAACCCGCAAGCAGAGATAATTTGAAATGACATGAAAATGTCACAAGCGTCAAAAACATGTACCGTATTGGCCCGAATATAAGACGACCCTGATTATAAGATGACCCCCTCTTTTACAAGACTCAAGTTTGAAAAAAGACTTTTTGAACACCAAATGAATTTTTCTACAGAAAATAATTACAGTACATCTCAAACCAATGATTATAAAAATATATTTGAGAGAAAAAGCATGTTATTTTGCCTCATTCAAATCTAAAGTGCAATCACATTCGTAAATGAATGGCTTCTGGCTTTTGAAATGTAAATTACATCAGAACTTCTCCTCAGCTGCCGGTTAACCTGGCCGATCTTCGACCCACTTTTCTCCAGATTGTCACTACGTTCTCCATTTTCGGTTATCTCTTCTATTATTTTCTTCTCTTTTCCTTCTTACCGCTATTTTTATTTTTATTCTTCGTGGCAGGGGTTCACTTTGGCCTGGGGAGTCAAGTTCAGCATTCGCTTCAAGGATATCTGGCGCCATCTAGCGTCGTGAATGGGGATAATGTCTAGACCCCGAATATAAGACGACCTCCACTTTTTCAGTCTTATTTCAATTCCAAAAAACACCGTCTTATTTTCGGGCCAATACGGTAGTTAGAAACTGTCATGATCCTGTCTCGTTTGTTTTGTTTTAACTTTGCGGTACCATCCAGATGGTGTGCATTACCTGTATGTTCTTGGGGATGTTTTCACCTTCTGTCCCAGGGATCTGTGTGTTTGTGTTGGGTCGTGGCTCCAGCCAAAAAGAAACCAGCCAGCGGATGAAGATGACTCGGGCCTGAAGGAAACTTTCCTTGGTGCAATAGAGAATTTCCGCACCATCCTGTTCCCTGCGCACCATACTGTAATAGGGCTTTGGACGCATTGGAGGAACCTCTGAAAGGAAAAGGATGGCTTTATACATTGGGCATATCAAGTGCCGATAAAAGGCATTACTTAAATTTACTGACCTAGTATGGGGTTGTAGAGACTAGTTTCCGAAGCAAAGTTGGGAAAGATGTGAGGAAGGTAAAATTTCCTGAAGTGACCAAAGAGGAAGCTAAACCCGCGTTCGTGATTTTCTTTACAACGCCACTCGAGAGACTTGGCCTGGTTGGAAGACACAAACATAAGCTTGTTTTGTACACCCACAAAAATAGGGCTAAATGGAGAAGAGCTCCTTTGTTGACAGCGGAGCTTGTGTCACAATGAGACAATGATACATAGGAAATGCAAAGAGTCAGTTACAGAGATGTGAACTGGATACAAGGTTAGTGTTGCTATACATTCGGCTTTATTGGCTTTGTCTCCAAGTTTATTTTAGTTAACAGAAACTAACAAAACGAAACCTGAAATTGAAAAAAAATGTTTTTTAACTAATTAAAATAAAAATGGAAATGCTTGGGGTTGATTTCAAATGTATTTGTTTCGGGACGTTTGAACAGTCGTCTGGGAGTTGTGGTCCTTAGATTGTGTGTCGTACAAAAATGACATCATCTAGCTGCAACCAATAAGATGACATCGCTACGAGGTGACCAGTTTCCATGTTGGTCTTTTGGCCCAAGTGGCTACCGTGCTTTTGTCGTTGAACTCAGACCACATTGTAGCGCGTGGTAAGAAGTGTATGACGGTATATATGACCAAAATAAAAAAATAAGTATACTGTACAACCAATTTAATAATTCTTAACAAGAACTGAAGCCACAAATACACTTTCGAAGTTGGCAAATTGGCAAATAAGGCATCGTGTGATGACTCGAGCTTTAGAAGCAGTATTATGTACATTACTTATTGTAATTCAGTCTGTGGACCATTAAACACTAGCTGTATTTGATTTGTGGATGGATGGTTTCTTTTAAAATGTTTCTAAATTCATATTTGTGTGAAATTTTTACGACACCACTTACCATAGTCTTTTTAATTTGTTTATACTGCACACAATACACAACTTGAATAAAAAAAGAAAACAAATGATAAAACTTACAAAAACCTAAACTAAAAACAACAATTTTTGAAAAAAAAATAAACTACCTCAAAACGAAATAAAAACTAACAAGAGTGAAAATTCCCTGTTTTTCACACTGATAAATAACTAATAATATTTAGTAAATAAAGACATTTCATATTGTGTGATTATGTTATGTTAGTTGTGTTAGTAAGAAATAATGATAATACCTGGTTTACCATGTATTTCAGTAGTGCTTCCAAAAAATAAGCGGTAAGGTCCTCCTGGTTCTTGTCACCGGACTGGGGATGTACCAGTGGGGTAATCTCCTCTGGCGTGACTTGAGCTGAAAGGTGGAATTGAAAAGCAATCTCACATTAGAGTAAAACAATCATTTACTAATAAACAACTAATCGATTATCAAATTATTCAAGAATTATTTTTGATGATCCATCAAGGACAATACAGATATTTCAAATTGTCCAAATCCACAAAATGTCATCCTCTCAACAGTAAATATTCTCAGATGTCAAGTTTTTCAATACAGGATGGAAATTACACAATATTTTTTTGATGCCAAAATAACCGACAGAATATTTAATTATTGAAATAATCGCTCATTGCAGCCCTATATCCATTTCAGAAAGAAGCCATATAGAGTAAAGTTTTTTTTTTTGCCTGCCTATCCAGTGACAGATGGTCATAATTGTAATTATGAAAATCGTATTTAATTAGCAACAAAGCAAAGAATTAAAGTTAGCTCTTTTCATTGGGAGCAACTACAACAATTCCCTACTACTCACTCTCAGTTAAGCTGAGGGGTGGGTTGATCAGAGTGTCCAAAGTGCGTGGAGTCCCATGGCAGAGCGGAGCCGGGAAACCAGGAATTACACAGGCAAACATGCAGAGTTGCTCGCGTTGAGCATTATTCTGTAATGCCTGCATCCACAGCAGGAACAGGCGCACACCTTCTCGACGGATCTGCAGTGCGCAGGAGCAAGTGGGGTGTCCATATAAATTTGTGTATTTCACCAGCAGAAGGAAATTAAAGAAAGCAGTCTTGATTTGGATTAACAAAAAAAGTAAAATACCTTTAAAGAGTTACCGGTGTGCAACAGTTTCTTCAATATCAGTCCTGAAAATGAGATATGTATCCAATAAATCACATATTAGAAGAGGTCACAGTGAAAGTGTAGGAGCAGATTTAACACATTTTGGAAAGGGTTGACAGCCAGCTGTGTTTGTTACCAATGCTGTGGAACTGCCATCGGCTCTGGATTCTCTCTGGGAGGAGCTGGAGGATTTTCTGAAACAGAAGCAGAGAAAAGAAACAAAACATATTAATATATCCCGGTGAGTTTCAGCAATATCTGACATTACGTTGAATGCATACTGATAATGGCGTGATGTTAAAACAGATTATTTATATCATTAGATCTCTTTTGGCTATGGACTTCTCCAAGATTTTATCGGAGTCAAAAGTCAGCTTGCCTCGAAACACAAATTTTGAGGTTTCTATCGTCAAGAAGCATTGCCTGACGCGTCGCACAAAATAAATCTCAGAATGCAGACAATTAAGAACTGTTAACTTGTCGACAGAGCAACTTCGCACTGATCTTGCCCTTTCAGCGCTGGACAAATGTATGCAAGCGTATTCTAAAGAATTCCAACCTGATCTGTATTTACATTTAGTTTAGTTTTTTTTTTAAATTCTCCTCATATAAAGAAAAGCAAGTTTATTTGGCACATGGGAATGAAAAATGCATTAAAAAAGACTGAAATGCAAGGCCAACACCCATGTCGTGTGATGGGGCGGCTTTGGGTGCATGTCTGATGTTGCCGTGCACTTATGTAAGAATGGACTAACAAGTGGCCCCTCGTGGTTGAAGCCAGAGGGCAGCCATCTTACGTTTTTTTTTTTGTTTTGTTTTGGGTTTTTTTTTCACTGAAGTCAGTGTTGTCAGTGCATGTTTTGTGCCAAGATCCCTGTATGGAAGAATGAGGGGCTTTCAAAGTGCACTCCTTTTACCACCGATCAAATTTTAATTTGTTGGACGATCATAAAAAAAAATAATAATAATAAGAGGTGGTAGGAAATTCCAGTACTGTACCTCGAAAATAAAGAGGATTGAGTCCAACTCCTCCCTCTGAGACTTGTGACCTGAAAAATGAGAGCATGAAGAAGAGAATTGATTTTTTTCCATTAAATGATTTTAAAATTACCAATTGCTGATTGCAGATTAAATTGATAAGAATGACAATAATAATAATAATAAAAAAAAAAAAATAATAATAACTGGAAAATTCCAGTGGAAATTTTGAATGGGCTTGAAAAGTCTCATTTGTGAAGGCTTCTTGGCAAGGTGGGCTTGCCCTGCAAAACAGGGATAGGCAACTGGTAGCCCTCAATTAAGTCAGTTTCTGTATGTTAAAGCAGCGTGGCTCAGAAAAAGATGCTCACGATGCTCACATGACTGCTTCTGACACGGCACCCCACTCATTTTCAAAGGGACATGTTCACTGTTTTCTAGGAATTGTGTCAAAATGGTAACACAAAATTCCTAAAAAAAATTGTTCACATCCAAGCCTGGACAGAAACATCTTTTGAAACATAATTTGCACAGATACGTGAAATGGTGTGTGCGGAATTCTGTGTGTGGGGAAAACATTAGAATACGAAAGGATACAAAATTATATAATAACAGGTTTCCTACAGCATTACGCAAGGCTAAATTCAATCATTTTTGAGACTTTTTCATTCCATTTCAAACTAAATTTAACACCAATTTCACACTATTCACAATTTCCAATGTTTAAAGTTGCGACCATTTACAATTGTTTTGGTGGTTCTACAATCGTAATTGTATGATGGAACCATAAGACTTGTTAATTTCTTTTCAAGAATGTTCATTTATTTTGAAATTTGAGACAATTCAGAGTCATAAAATCCTACTTAGGCCAAACAAAAAAGATGTTTGATGAAAGTGTGTTTCCGGCAACATGAAATTTCAGGTCGGTAGGTCGGACAAAGTTTTTTTTTTTTAAATCTTTTTTTTCCATCAAAAATTTAAACAAAATAACCATAAAACATAAAACAAGAAGACATTGAACCCGCCGCTCCGTGGCCGGCGCCGCCACCACCTATTTGGTTTTCTCCCCGCTCCGGACTCGGGGGGCCCCGGTGGGGCGCACCGCCGCCTCTGCCGCCGTCCTCCTCCGTCCTCGGTTTTTACTCGGCCCGTGGTGTTCATCAAATAGTTCGCTGAATTTTTTCGATACATCAATGGATGCTATTTTCTTAACATTACGGTGCGAGCATGCAACTGTAACACAGAAAACGCGGTTTAAACTGTCGTCGGAGATCGCAGCCCCCACCATGTTTCAATGTTGTTGACAGACAACAGGGCAAACGACGCACGCGCTCAACGTGAATATCGCGAGAGTTTGCACCGATGTAAACCCTCTACACAAAAATGTAGAGGGTTGTTTGAAAAAAATGCCGACCGTAAAGTTTTTTTTCGACGTAGAAATTCTTGGTCGGTCGGGTTACCGGAAACACACTACTTTTTTTTCTACGCCTTATCATCAACATTTTTGAAGGCTTTTCAAAGATTCTCCGTTGCACAAGCCGTGCAACTGTTCGTGGCATTGCTTGCTCTGCAGCAGTCATAATCATGCTGTACTGTAACTCACCTTTTTGCTTGAGGCTAACCTCAATGGTGACAAAGTTCTCAAAGAAAACATAGTAGATGTGGGAGTAGTTCAGGTCGAAGAACTGCTTCAGCTCTGGTGGTTCTGCATTTTCTGGACAATACAAAAGGGAATGAGGCCGATATTTAAATTAATAGTCACATTATTTAAATAAATACCACAGATGCATCGAGAAAAGCACTCAAAATGTAAAAATTCTCATATTTAATTCTTCATTTAATGTATTTTTTTTTTGGGGGGGGGTATTAACATTGTGATTACATCGAGGACCGTGAGACCGTGAAATCGTGAAATACATGGGTCTTTCCGTTAAAATCATCATAGAATTGATAGAATTCACGCATGACACCAATAATATGCTAGGAGGTTGGGGGAGTACATTTCTGAAATCAGAATCAAAAATACATTTAGGGACCCATAAACCCATTTCTGATTCAAATTTGCTTTTGGCCAGTGTTATTCAAGTTTGCAGAGAAGCATTGTCCTTGCTTAATAGGAAACAAAGGAGTGGGTGAAATAATGATTCATCAATGCCTGCAATACTTCCCCTCTCAATTCAATTTCAATTCATCAACTTCCCTCCTCAATTTAATAACCAACCAACAAATGCTCTGAATCAAATCACTTCCTGGCCATTGGGGGACGCTTGGCATGTGATTCATGTTGTATGGATGGAAGCATCATTCGACGAAACAACAAAATGGTGATTAAAAGCAAGCAGCAATAGCAGCCTGAAGTCAGTGGCTTCGACTTTTAACTCTGATGTTTAGCGTCATTTCAGATTCCCCAGTAAATTTGCATGCAAACTGACGGCAAGCTTTGTCAGCGCACAGAAGACAAAGAGTCTCTGGCCACATTCATATGCGAGGAGCTATGACTGTATTGTGCGATGGAAAAGAAGTAGTTTAAGAAAATGGCACAGACATTTGAACCACAAAATGCGATACCAACACAAAAACACATCTCAGAAGTCGCAGTCATCCCGGAGCTGTACAGAGTTGAAAGACAGCAGTTTTGGAGTTGCTGAAGTTGGCAGAGATATGTTGGGCCAATGTGGTTTGCTAATTAGCCAGTAGGAGGAGTTTACTCAACAGGTAAATTACATTCGGAGGTTTACAAACACTGTTCAGTCTTATGTGGAAATAAGAAAAAAAGTTGAACCTATTAGTCTGGAAAAGGTTACAAAGCCATTCCCAAGAGTGGGGCTCCAGCGAACCATTGTTGGAGCAATTAGCCATAAATGGAGAAAATTAGGAACAGTGGCAAACATTCCCAGGAGTGGTCGACCAGCTAAAATTATTCCTAGAGTGCAACGACGACTTATTCTGGAAGTCTCAAAAGAACCTAGAACAACATCCAAAAAACTCCGGACATCGCTGGCCTCATTTCAAGACAGTGTTCAAGACTCTAGCATAGGAAAGACACTGGATAAAATGGCATCCATGGGAGAGCTCCCAGGCGAAAACCACTGCTGTCCAAAAAGAACACTCAGGCTCATCTCACATTTGCTAAAAGTCATCTTGATGACCCTCAAGACTTTTGGAAACACATTCTGTGGACTGATGAGTCAAAAATTGAACTTTTTGGAAGGTGTGTGGTCCGTTACGTCTGGGGTAAAAATGGCATGGCATTTGGTAAAAAGAACATCATGCCAAGAGTGAAGCATGGTATTGAAAGTGTGACGGTCTGTGGCTGTTTTGCTACCTCAAGACCAGGACAACTAGCAGTTATTGATGGGATAATGAATTCTGCTGTCTACCAGAAAATACTGAAGGAAAACGCCCGACAATCAGTTTGCAACCTAAAACTCAAACGCTCTTGGATCATGCAGCAGAACAAGAATCCAAAACACACCACCAAGTCCACCTCTGAATGACTAAAATAACAACATAAAAAACAAATTAAGGTTTTGCAATGGCCAACTCAACGTCTGGATTTGAATCTAATAGAGATGCTGTGGTATAACGTTAAACGGGTGGTTCATACTCGAAAAACCTTCAATATGGTGGAGTTGAAGCAATTCTGTGAAGAGGAGAGGGACAAACTTCCTCCACAGACTAATCACCAAATATCGCAAATGCTTGATTTCAGTTATTGCTGCCAAGGGTGGCACAAACCATGAGTAAGTTAAGAGGGCAATTACTTTTTCACATCGGGCCAGGTAGGTTTGGATTTTTTTGTGCCTTCATAAATCAAATTGGCATTTAGAAACTATATTTTGTAGTTCCTTGGGTTATTTTTGTGTGACATTAAAATTGGTCTGATGAACTGCAACCTTTGTCTGTCATAAATATGCAAAGAACACAGAAATCAGGAAGAGGGCAAATACTTTTTCACGGCACTGTATGTCCATCCTGTCTTTTCATCTGTGATGTTTCTTTTGGCATCATCTCAACTCAACTCAACTCAAATGTATTTATAGAGCACTTTCAAACAGCCATCGCTGCACATAAAGTGCTGTACATGGAGCAACTAACATATACCACAGTAGAGCAATAAATCAGTAACAAAGATGGTAGATAGCACCAAACAGTAAAACTAAGATCAAATCTGAGTCATACTGAGTCAAATGCCAAAGAATACAAGTGAGTTTTGAGGCGGGTTTTAAAGATGGGCAGCGAGGAGGCTTGCCGAATGTTCAGTGGGAGGTCATTCCAGAGAGAGGGACCAGCAACGGAAAAGGCTCGATCCCCTCTGAGCCTCTGTTTAGTTCTTGGTACTTCTAATAATGTTTGGTCCGCAGACTTGAGGCGCCGGGCGGGTGTTATAGGGCAGGGGTCCCCAACCGCCGGTCCACGGACCGGTACCGGTCCACCTGGCATTTGGTGCCAGGACGCACAGAAAGAACTTGCCTTAATTCCGTTTTATTTATTTCGGAATACGAAAGAAGTTTTATTTTGAAAAACTACCGGATTCTCCGTTACATCCGTCTGTGTCACGCTTGACACACGTCAAGCCACGCTTCTCCATCACATGACCGATTACTTCAAAACAAAACGCAGGAGCCTGCAAAATGAGTAAAAAAACTGCTGGAAATCGCAAATGACGGCGGCCTTAAAAGTACGTTCGAAACAACTGGATCAAAGTTATGGCTGAATACTCTGAGAACGCCACAATAGCACTGTTGCTATTTCCGACATCCTACCTGTGTGAGGCGGGGGGTTTCTGCAGCAACGGCGACGAAAACAAAATTACGAAGTAGACTGGACATAAACCACACACTTGAGGTGTCATTGTCTCCTATTACCCCGAGATGGGACCGTCTGGTTGCAGAAAATCATGCTCGGGGCTGTGGTGAGTCGTCATTTTCATGCACTTTGAATTTGCGTTGTATCGTATTTTGAAGGCATTAAACATTACCATAGCGATCAGAGTGTTGCGGCCAGATTAGACTGCTTGTGTTTATTATTATATTTCGAAAACACCACATTTTCATGCAGCTCATACCATATTATTTTGTTGTATTATTTCCGCCACACCTTAAATGCCGGTCCCTGAAAATATTGTCTGACATAAACCGGTCCGTAGGGCAAAAAAGGTTGGGGACCCCTGATTTAGAGATTTGAAAACAAATAATAGGATCTTGAAAATAACTCTAAAATGTATCAGGAGCCAGTGAAGGGATGCCAGAGTAGGAGTTATGTGCTCCCTCTTACGAGTACCAGTCAAGAGGCGAGCAGCGGCATTCTGGACCAGCTGGAGGTGTTTAATGGAGGACTGGCTGACTCCAAAGTAAAGGGCATTGCAGTAATCGAGCTGGGATGTGACGAAGGCATGAATTACTGTCTCAAAGTGTTCTTGAGAGAGGAGAGGTTTTACTTTGGCCAGCTGTCTAAGATGAAAGAAATCATCAACAAATAAAGAGCAATAACAGCGCTGTAAAGCATTCTGGGAAGTGTGCAGCCAGCCACACCATTGCTACAATGTTTTATTTTACAGTCAATGACAACTTTGCAAAAAGTGGCCATAAAAGGGTAATATTTTAGGGTGGACACAAACATCTGAGCATTTTTTCATTGTGTCAACACTGACAACGTGAACTAAGACTTTTTGATATGTTGTGTCAATCTGCCTAGTGTTAGAATGTACGACACTTTATTATGACCATGTGAATTTTGTTGCACACATGAAGTGGCAATGTGATTGTTGCATGGATGTGAGTGTTGTTCAATTGTCAGTTTCAAGCACGGGGGGCTGGAACCTATCCTAGCTGAATTTGGGCGGAAGGCCGACTACACCCTGAACTGGTCGCTAGTCAGTCGCAGGGCACATATAGAGACGAACAACCACACTGACATCCACACCGGCAGAGTGGGAACCGATCCCACGCTGTCCCCACACAAGTCAGGCGAGTGTACCACTGCACCATCAAGACCATGCTTGTATTATGTGGTCTTATATACGGAGGAGCTAAAAAGAAGAATACAAGCGATGGAAATGAGATGCTACAGGAAGATTCTAGACATCCACTACACTGAACGCATGACAAATGAAGAGGTCCGCAAGAAGATCACAGACGCAATTGGACCACATAATGATCTTCTTACAACTGTGAAAAAACTAAAGCTGAAATGGTATGGTCACACATCCCGCTCATCTGGACTCGCTAAGACCATCCTGCAAGGCACAATCAGAGGAAACCGAAAAAGGGGAAGACAGAAAAAGAGATGGGAGGACAACATCCAAGAATGGACAGGATTGGGCCTGGCAGAGTCCCAAAGAGCAGTGGAGGACAGAGACTGGTGGAGGAGAGTGGTGGCACAGGCTTCACAGGCGCCCCAACGACTCCTACGGAAGTCAAGGGATAGGTGAAGGTGAAGGAAGGTATTCCCTAAACTGCCAGGAGACACGCCCCCTTGTCCAGAGAGAGAGAGAGAGAGAGAGAGAGAGAGAGAGAGAGAGAGAGAGAGAGACACACACACACACACACACACACACACACACACACACACACAAAACAATGCAAAGAGGAAGTTGGGCTACTGTACAGGACATCGAGAGGAAATACTAAAGGTTGTTTTCATCTGCAGTCAGTAGGCATATTGAGGATGTGTAGTGTCCATTTGTGGGAACTATAAACAGCACCTGTTCCAGACGACTGATTCTTCCATACCAAACAAGTCACCTTATTAAATGTTATCTGAATGCAGTACAGACAATTAAATAATTAAATGGTACTGTAGCCAGACACCTGTGATTGGCTGGGAACCAGTTCAGGGTGAACCCCGCCTGCTGCCCCAAGACAGATGGGATAGGTTCCCGCACGCCCCACGACCCATGTGACCCCTCGACCCATGTAACAATATGCTGATCAGAAAATGGATGGATTGATGGATGAATGTAGCCAGACACACCCCTAACAGACTACGTTCATTTACAGTATTGCATTTTATGCTTCCAGCACCACAAAAGACGGTCTTCTTTTAACCCCCCCCCCCAATTTCAATTCCTATGCAGTTGTCTAAATTGTGTTTAATTGAAAAATGATTAATGTACTGTACACAGAATGTATTCAAACTGACCCCAAAATGTACTGCCAAACATTCACCGCTGAATTAATTGTAAAATACACATTACCGTAGTTAGAATTTATGTTTTCATAACGAGGTGGGTTGACACCATTATTGCCTCATTAAAATGTCAACACGACGAATGATTGAATGGGTGCGACAAAATCTGCTAAAAGCGATACATATATAACATATCATCTCAAGTGCTATTCAAAGATGCCTTTTTTTCTGTTTGTTCGTTTCCTGACATTCCAAGACTGTCACGTAGTAATGAACGTTAGCAGCTCAACAAGGACATTAAACTTACCTATGACTATTCTGAGATGTTTGAGCCTCGTAAAGACGTCCTTCTTTGGATCCAACACTTTCTGTGTTGATTTTCTGACGTCCCCGTGAGGCTTTTTGGAAAACATTCCTGAGGCTGGAGACTCCAGGAGCAAATTATAGACAGCGAGGACGTGCTAGCTCTAAAACGTAGCAATTTAGAGAGCTCCGGCTAGCGTTAATCTTCAAAATAACCGAACGCAATCACTCACGGTGCGTTCCGATTTTAGCACTGATGCGGCGCATTACAAAACCGTGTCCAAATGGACAACGTTTATTTACACTAAGCCTCATAGTTGGTAGACCGCAGCAGGTATAGCATCTATCCATTGCATCTCCTTTTCCACAACAGTCTGCAGCCTGACGGCTAATGTAACTATTGAGCTAACCTAGCTAGCTCAGAGGCTCACTCACAGGGCTCACTTGGAAAACATCATGGCGGAGAAGGGAGGGGAAACTAAATAATGGATAAAATACATATTCAACAGAAACACACTCAATAATATGGGCGTTTTATTGTGGACGCGTATGTGTATGGCAAGGGAATGCGACATGTTGATTTGTATGTGGGAGACAAAATATTATTTTACAGGCACTCAAATGTAACGCCTTTCGACCGCCTTGAGCCAGTGGTGAATTCTGGGTAACGTAGTAACGATGCGCGTTTGTGGCCCTGTCAATGGCCCGTGATCTGAATTAGAAAACTACATTTCCCGGCACGTCTAGGTTCATGTCAAAGAGTTTTGTTTTTAGCATTCTTCCCTCCTGGGCAGCATTTCAAGGTAGGAAATATACATTTGGACGTCTTTCGTAAAAAATCAACAGGGTTGAAACAAAACGCCAACGGTTTATACGTTTGTGAGTCGTAATTTGGTGTTGGAATATGCGTAATGTGCGCATAGCAACAAGTCCTCCTGATGCTGGTTGTGTAGCTTAAAGGTGCTAAAAGGCTAACATCGTTGTCGTGTTTATCTTTTGCTTGCCACATATTATGAGACAATTGCAGTACATACGTATAAGCTGTGTCAAGGAAAGGGATTTAACATAAATATTTATACTTTTAGCGAGGATGTTTGTAAACAAAGACAAATCTGAGTCCAAAAAAAGTCCCAAAAGCAACAGAACTGAAAACGTAATCATCATGTCGCGATATTATTTAATACCGAATAAAACTAGCATTACTTTTCTGGTCGCAGTTTAAGCGAAAATGGAACCGGTCATATTAAATGTGCCATGACAAGACATTGAGAGCTCGCCGTGGAGCGACCATTGAAAGAAACATTTCTTTTTTCTACTCTCTATCAGAGTGAACTTTCTGCTATGCCAGTGCATCGCGACCGGGAGAAGAAGGAGGGCACAGCAGAGGAGATGGAGGTTGAGGATCAGGAGCAAGAAGGATCCAGTTCAGAGGAGGAGGATTCTGAAACTTCCTCTGTCTCTGAAGATGGAGACAGCTCTGGTAAGAATGTCAGGTGCGGTTATGTACTGATACACAATACAAGGTTCTGATATAGATGTAGCGCAATTACTACCAGTGCTTGCATAATGTGAAGAACACTTCGGTCAATTTTTGTCAATTTTTAAATGTTTAACTCAATGGCGTGTCCGCGTTTTGGACCATTAACGTAAAAAAAATAAATAAAAAGGCCGAAAACGACATACTGGTGCATGTTTTTCACAGTACATTGACAATTTGTTACTTTTGTATGTCACAGAAATGGATGAGGAGGATTGTGAGCGAAGAAGGATGGAGTGTTTGGATGAAATGTCAAATCTGGAGAAACAGTTCACTGATCTCAAAGACCAGTAAGAAACAGAAAGATTTTTTTGAAATAGGCTATTTGCCCCATTTGTTTGGAAATAAAAATCAGTGTGAATATACTGTAAATATTTTGTGCATGCAGGCTGTATCGGGAACGTCTCACTCAGGTCAACAGCAAGCTGGCTGAGGTGGAGGCCGGACGTGCAGCAGAATATTTGGATCCTCTGGCTGTGCTGCTGGAGAACATGCAGGTTCGCACCAAGGTGGCAGGTAATCCTAACGTGTCACAAAATCTCTTTACGCACCGGCCAATGTATTCTTATTCCAAATCCTTCTGTCTTTGTCAGGAATCTACAAGGAGTTGTGCTTGGAGTCTGTAAAGAATAAGTACAAGTGTGAGATCCAGGCAGCATGCCAGCACTGGGAGGTTAGAAAGGGAGCACACTCACACTTGCCGGAATTTCCATTTTTGCTATGCACTGTAGCTTTGAAATCACCGACCTCCAGTAAGGCTTACTACAGTGAATATATTAAGTTCAAAATAATCTTGAATAGCTATAGGGCTAGCCACAAATCAGTAGGTATTCAAATTGAATAGCAAATTAAAAACTAATGCTGAATGAGTTCTTTCCAGATTCAAGTGACATCACACACACACACACACGCACACCCACACACCTATGTGTGTCGTATGTACAGTGGCCTGCGAAAGTATTTGGCGCCCTTGAACTTTTTGACCTTTAACCACATTTCAGGCTTGAAACATAAAAATATCAAATTTGGTCTTCACGATACTCTTTGCTCCCGAGGATTCTTTTAACAGACCTCTGAGGCCATCACAGAGCAGGTGCGTTTATACTCATGCTTGACACAGGTGGACTCTATTTATCATCATCAGTCATTTAGGCCAACATTGGATCGTTAAGAAATCATCAGGGAACCTCTGGAATGAGTTGGCCACACTGAGAGAATAATATCGCACCCAGTTTTCACTTTTTTTATTTCAAAAACAAAGTTTAAAATATCGTATGAATGTCATTTCACTTTTTTTGTGTGTCCCCTCCCAAATTCTAATTTTATGTCTTTATGTTTCAAGCTTGAAATGTGGGAAAAGGTCAAAAAGTTTCAAGGGGCCGAATACTTTTGCAAGCCACTGTGTGCGGGAGAAGCACCTGCACCACTGTGAGATTCAAAAACAAAACATAGACGCGTTTGCGTGTGTATGGGAATATCTATTGAGCATTCAATTTAATTGTTAAACTAATGATGGGACGAAATATGCCTTGTGTCGGGTAATGGGGTAATGGGAGGAGCGTTTCCACGAAGCGTTTGTCGAGGCGCGCTTCATTCGGGCAAAACGCGGAAATGATGACGTGTGATGCCTCGGTGGCCGCCTGGACCGCGTGACTGCTTCAGGAAATGGTTCGATTGTTTGTCGGGCATTGCAAAGCGGGTATTAAGCTGCCACAAAACGAAATGGTGGTCGCCGGTTAGCTCACATTTTGTGGATTTCGGGCTGTCGTACTTGTTACACCTGACCTGTGTGCAACGGCAATCTTATTTCGTCTGTTGTTGCAATGGAGCTTGCACGAAAAAGAATTTCCCTTGTTTGGGAAGACTACCAATTGTTTGCTTCTCATAAGACAAAATAAATATAATATAAATAAATATTGTAGAAAGGGTTCTGTCAGTCGTCATCTGTACCTGTGGGTAAAAAACAAAAAACAAAAACAAAAAAAAAAAAAAAAAAGGACGTTTCGCTTTTCCCCTCCTCCCCAAAAGTTTCGACATCTCGGTTCTCGACCAAAAATTTCAAGTTTTTTATGCAGATGACGAACCAATTTCGGTTCTCGAACAAACTGAGCGCACTTGAATGCACCCCTTGACTCCTCTCGCCTTCCTTAGACGAGGAAATGACGCTTCCTCGGGTAGACAAGGAAGTATTTTACAGGTGAAGTTTCTGTTGTATGGCAAACTCCTTGCAAAATCTGCGATACAGCATTTACGGTTGGTCTGGGGTATCTGATTTAACGTGTGTGTTTGTGTGTGCACAGAGTGAGAAGCTGCTTCTGTTTGACACGGGTCAAAGTGAACTGGAGGAGAAAATAAGAAGATTGGAGGAAGACAGACACAGCATCGATATCACATCAGGTAACAGGGTTAGCACCGCGTCGTGTCACCTCTCAGCCAATGTCGCTAAACTGTCTAGAAATCTCTCAGCCGCAACATCGTGTCTTTTTATGTGGCTAAACCTTACTGCCTTGTAAACTGCCGCGACCAAGAAAGCTGGACCGGGTGTATCCTGCTACATTTACATATAATACCTAGAGTACCTATGATACAGTAAATCAGCATAGTAGCCTCACATGCAACGTCAGTGCTTTCATCAGCCATCAGGCCGCTATAAAAATTCACGTTTAACTCTTTCAGGGACAGCGGCTACGACAGTGGACAGCTTATGTTATCAGGCGACAGGGTGCATAAAAGGGTTAAGGTCAGGGCTCGGGCTCGAAATAAGCGTTTTTTTAATCGCAATCTGTTTTATGATGTTGGTCACGTGACATTCGCAATCTGATCCGTGATTGGTCGTGATCTGAGCGTCGTGATGTCATTTTGAGTCGACAGCAAATGGCAAAATGGCCGCCCAATGAAATGAATGAAACCCGGTGGAGTTTACTGCTCAATTCATGTTCCACCAACGCAATGTCTACTTGAATATCGTTTTTATGTTAGTGGAGGGAGCAGAGAATCCTTTTAGGTTCCAATTGGTTCCTGCTAATAATCATCACTCGATGGCATAGGGACACAAACAGGGAAACAACTCAATGGGGAATAGAAAAAGACTGTAACACTATATATAAAGTGTATCGGATGAGAGGGCACACTGTCGGCTTTTGAGAAAATTGAATGCTTTGGTGCGCCTTATAGTGTGGAAAATACGGTTTTAAAAAAACATCCGAGGCGGACCAGAACATGACATGTTTGTCACAACCCCTCCACCCCATGGCAACACTAATCCAGTTCATTAAACAGGGATGAGAGTGGCTAGTGATGAAAAAATCTAAAAATCAGCCGGGGGTCTGGGGGCCACAGGTACCCAGGGGCAATGGCCCAGATGGGGGCAACACACACACACGTATATAATATATATATATATATATATATATATATATATATATAAATTCCAAGCGCAATCAACAATTAAAATGTCATTGTCATTTTTTAATTGATTAATAAAATCATTTTCTTCGGGTCCGTGGGATTAATTAAAATGTCCTTCTTAATCTCCCTTTTTAAAATAAATGTAACAACATTTGAAGAAACGGTTTTTACTGGCCTCTGATTTTAAAAGTAGTTGTTCATCAATTTGTTGTGGCCCGCGACAAAATTGTGTTTGACACCCTCTTGCCAGCTCAGGCAAAAAACTGTCTCGAACCGCCAGTGGGCAAAGGAGTCAGCGGTTCATGTTGGGCAATATATCAACTCAAATAATTTTCTGTCTGGGTGGGTGGGAGGCGGGGGTTCTCAATTCCAACTAGTACGTGGTCAACAAATAGTTTTATCTCTCCAGACAAGGTGCCACCGATTGAAAAGAAACACCGGCAGCATTCAAGCATTTTCTGTTATGTTTGTCATCAGAGCTGTGGAATGACGAGCTAGCAGGACGGAAGAAGCGAAGAAATGCTTTGAGTCTGGATAAAAAGAGGAGAAGACCTTCAGTCGTGTCTGATATCCTTTTTATGGACATCGCCGCATTTCTTTTTATGCCACTTCTTGAAAATGTTTGAAATTGCTTTCGCCCTCCGCGTATTAAACCTTAACCCCTCGTACGGCCTTATATTGTCTACATGCTTCCTGACTTGGACATCTTAGAGGACTGGACAGCTATCAGGAAGGTAGGCTTGCGTGTCAGTATCACCTCAATAAAGTATTTTTCAAGCTTAAGTTGAACTATGGTGTGTGTATGTGTGTGTGTGTGTGTGTGTGTGTATGTCAGTATCACCTCAATGAAGTATTTTTCAAGCTTAAGTTGAACTTTGATGTGTGTGTGTGTGTGTGTGTGCGTGCGTGCGTGCGCGCGCGTGTTGTCATCCAGGCTGTTGCCACCCTTGGTCCCCACAGAGGAAAGGTGGAGTCGGACAGCTCGGCTTTTCCGTTCAGACCAGACAGAAGCCGACCCATTCTCAACTGCTGAGAAAGAGCAACACGCCCTTATGGACACACAAACAAAACATGATGTGAGAACACACAGCTCACCTTTTGACTGCGACGCCAGCCGCTGCGGTGCATCCTACGGCCAAGGGAAATACACTAGACACCCTTTAAACCACAAACAATATTCAGCATTGGCTGCCATGACAGCCTGAGAACTGGTTAGGGCTAAAATCAAATTACGGACTAAATTTGAATGTTTTAAGTGGATTTTTGGTTTGTTCCACTTCATCATAGACATTGACAGAACAGACCCAACAAGAAAATGTGTGCTTCCGTTGCAAAATGGCAACACAACCAACGTTAAAATGCTTCCAGCCACCTGTTTTTTTTTGGGTTTTTTTTTTTTTTTTTTAGACGACCATGCTGGTCGAATGCCAAATTCGAAGACATAATTGTCTCTTGCCTGGACCTGAAAGCGTTGATGTGGCATTTTTGTTCCTTGGGTCACACCTCCTCCTACTTGGTAACCTTTACAAATGTCAAATAGGTTGATAGTGTCACACTGTAAATGCTGGCATCATAAATACGGACGTTCAGTGTTTCGGAAAGGGTGCAAAAGGGCCTCAAGTGAAAACGATTTGCTCACGTGAGTCCTTATTACCGGAATTTCAGGTGAACTCAGTGGTTTGACAGCTTTCTTTTTTTCTAGATTTCCATTTTTACAGAGTGTATTTATGTACAGAAACATGGTGTCAAATTGAATATTTTGATTTTGTCTGAAACGGCCTCTTTGTGAACTTTTTTTTTCCTTCTCATCAGGGCCTTACAAGTATCATGCAGGGAAATTGGCTGTTTGTGAAGATTTTGCAATTTGCCATACGAACACATTTATTTAATTGGACTCCACATCTCTTTTTTTTTCGTTCATTTGTACAGATTGGTGGTCATTGCAATTCTTGCCTGTGCCACGTCAAGTTCGAAAACAGTCCTTGTGATTTTTGCATCATTGTGTGATTGTTGTCAAGGTTATATTGAACCACACTTCGCTTCTATATTTAGTTGTGAAGTGAACGTTGAGACAAAACGTTTCAGGACATTTCTAAGCTTCTATTTGACAACACTTTAATGGAAAGAAAATGCATAATTTCAATGGATCTTACAAATTACTTTATGGGAAACCCTCCAATATATTTTTATATAATAGCCCCTTGGGGGGGGGGGGGGAGCAAAATCGATTTGGTCTGAAGTTGGGGCATTTTCAAAAATGAATATTTTGAAACGCCATGTGATTGCATGTTGTACTTATCTACCTCTGCTCTATTGTCTCATATTAATTCCCTAAACTATAAACATGCCTCCATTTTAAGCAGTTGCTGCTGATCCATAAATGTAAGCATTTGTCCAGTTTTCAATAAAAGCCTGTGGTGAAGACGCCTCATCACATCGCATGTTGAAGATATTAACAAAAACTGTTAATGGGGAAGGTTACCGAATAGTGACAAACATGAACAAACTGCCAATTACCGGTAATGATATATTTTATAATGTTTTGTATTTTTATTAATCACGATGATGTTGGTGACATCGGGATTTGTTTTTCCACACAGTTAATGTGCAAACAAAAGTGTTCCTTTGGATGGAATATTTTCCTAATAAAGTGACTTTTCTAGAGTTCTCTGTGGCATCTGCTCATAATTAATCGGTAAATTGGCATAAACATAAGTTGGGAGCCTTTTGATCGACAGCGGAAGTATTTTAGAGAGGGGAAGCAAACTCATGTTACATAGGAATCACCATTAAAGTGCATCTGATTAACCCCAAATGGCATTCATGGTCTACGGACAGCTTCCACGGCATCAGGAGAATCTTTTTGTTCAAAAGAGAGTCAGTCCGGAGAAGGGTACAAAAGCACTACACACAGCATGGAACACGGTGGCCACATCAAGTGGAGGGGAAAAAAAGGCACAAAAATGACAAAACCAAGAACTTGACGTTGCCCAAAACAAGAAGCAAACTATTCAGGGAGGCTTCCAAGAGGCCCATAACAACGTTGAAGGGAGCTTGCAGGAATTTCTGGAAAGTACTGGCAGGACAGTAGTCGGTACATATGTGATAACTATCTGCCAACTTCATATATTGGCAATGGGGTAGGCTGCCAAGATGGAAGCCTGAGAAAGAAAAGCACCCAACCGAGCTGTGGTTTCCAAACACACACTTGTTATTCTCCCAAACGCATGTGGGGACAATGTGTTATGGTTGGATGAAACAAAAGGTTGAACTTTTGGACCAAACATGACTACAGTATGCTCATCCCCAAGAAGACACCACATATACAGTGAATCACGGTGGCGGCAGCATCGTGCTTTGGGGCCGTTTGCGCAGTTAGGAACTGGGGCCATGGACAAGGTGGAGGCAATTCGAAACAGTTCCAAATAGCAGTCAGGGTTAGCAAAGCATTTTCAGGCTTCTACTATAAGTGAAACATGTTAGTAAAAAACTAACACAACAGCAGAACCTTATTCGGGGTTAACCAGAGGCACTGTAAATGGTGGCAGGTGTGTGCTGACTCCACCAAACATGAGTTTGGATGTGACTGAATCATTCTGAACACAGCCATGTCACCAGTTAGAAGAGTGTGTGCAGACTTGCACAACAGTTTCCCGAATATTCAATTTTTTTTAACCCAAACGAATACCTACAGGTGATAGATCCAATTAATGGTGGAAAACGTTTTGCGATTATTTATCTTGGTGTAATGACAAAAACCTAGCATTTGACTCCTGCTCAAATGACTTTTGTTTTTGACCAAGATGTGTCGTCTTTTTCGATACATTTGTATACCTACCCTGATTCAAACCCTCCAACCGGGTAAGGAATAAACAATATGTCTTCCCCCCAACCCTCCACTCCCATCGATTACCTCCCAATGGACAACATATGTGAGGCTCACCGAAGAAACATCTTTTTCAGGGACGTCTGGGCTTCCTTTAGCCAGACGATGTCAAACCACATTCTGCACGCGATACAACAGCGTGGCTCCATGGTAAAAAAGTTTGAGTCCTAGACTGGCCTGCCTGCAGTCGAGACCTGTCTCCACTTGAAAACGTGGCCCATTATGACGCGCAAAATACGACAACAGGGACTGTTGAGCAACTGTGGTTGCACATCAAGCATTTCACCTTCAAAGCTTCAACAATTTTGTGTCCTCACACCCCAAATGCTTATTGGGTGTTGTTAAAAGGAAAGGTGATGGTGTAAACACGCACCCGTTCAAGCTTTGTGTTGCAGGCGTCAAACTCAAAATAAGTGAATACTTGCAAAAAAAAAGTGATCGTTTGAACATTAAATATCTTGTTTTTGGAGTGTGTTCAGTTACATTTCAGTTAAACAAATGTTTAACTGAGATGTTTTTGGTTTTACACATCATCCCAACTTTATTGGAATTGGGGTTTGTAAAATATCGTATATCAATTAGCATCACACACCCTAGTTTAGTGTAAAATTTGAAAGATGTTCATCCTAAAATGCACCTGAAGCACGAAACTTAATCTGGTATTTCTCATAAAATCTGTTACTGTTCTGCGAAACAAAATTCCATATAGACACCAATAACATTACAGTATTTATTTATTCAATTAATTGTTTTCCCCCTTTTTCTTTTTTTCTTTTTCAACAAACTTCACAACAAACGTTTGTTTCTTTAGCCGCCTGCTCACATAAATTTGGATTTAATAAATATTCACAAAATAATCCAGTATAGATACAAACTGAAAAATGACAAGGCTGGATTTTTTTGTTTACTGGAATTTTAAACAACTGAAGTCATGACAGTCTACATCACATCACTCTGAAACAAACACAGGCTGAGTCAATATTGATATTAATAGATTCCTTTTGGCCTGGAGAATGAATTTCATAGGCTGGCACTGGAAGAAATACTCGGGTACACATCCATTTACTACATTTTGCACTTGGTTAAAAAAAGCAAAACAAGCCATGGCTCATTTTCTGCCAATGATTGTGGAAGAGAGCAGCATGGGGGAGCATTTGTGGGTCATGTCTTTCTCACAATCAAAGTTCTGGGCTTGAATTTCACCTCCAACTTTTCGATGTGGCGTTTACATATTCTAGCTGTGTATGCCTGGGTTTTCAACTACATTAGGTTCATGATTGACTCAATCAATGTGAATGTGACTGACGCTTGTTTTTTTGTTTTTTGGGGGGAGTTTTTTTGTCTCTATGCCCCGTGATTGGCTGGGAATCAGTTTCGGGTGTTCCCAACCTCTTGCCCAAAGTCAGCTGGGTGAGGCAGCAGCTCACCCAACACCCTGACCAGGATAAACGGAAAAAAAAATGGATGGATGAAATGCAGCATTGAGCATATGTGAGCAACACATATCACAAGATGAATTACCACAAGCATCCTGGATTGGCTATCATTCAGTAATGTTCCAAATGTCGAAGTACGTGACAAAAACACATGCCGAAAGATAGCTAGCGTTGTCAGAACTAGCCTAAATCTCAAGTACCTAATCATTTCGTCCACCCAAATGAAATTCATGATTGAATGATTGGGCATTCTTCCAGGAACGACGCTTCCCCATCAGCAGCGGCTGTCTGAAGAAGGACCGAGTGAAAATCGGATGTGGTTCAAATGGCACCTTAAGGAGCGGATGTTTGCTCATCTTGTGATTGGCTGCGGGGCAAAGGGGGGAGGTTCTGCTGGGTCATGGGAGGACCCATGGAGGGAGGCGGAAGGCCATCAGGTGGTGGAGGCCGCATCGGGGGCCCATATGAAAGCGGGTGAGGAGGAGGCGGAGGTCCGCCGCGAGCGAACCGAGGAGGGAACATCATCCCTGGCCGAGGAGCCCACACTAGAGAGGGAAAAAAGTGGAGAGAGTCAGCCTCGCAAACTCGGTTCACAATGATAGTCCAAGAGGAAGATGATTGCTCACTTGGCATCATGGGAGGTCCTCCGGGCCCTCTGGGAGGGAAGAAATCAGGCGGTCCGAAGGGTGCTCTTCGAGGAAATGGGCCATCTATGGGGCCCATTGGCGGTCCGGAAGGTGGTGCCGTCCCCCTTCTTAGAGGAGGAGTCCTTCGATCACTGGGAGTAGGCTGATGAAAAACGACAAACATCACAAAGCTTGCAGAGATTGAATTCACACTTGGAATTTCCTATGTAGTACAGACACAGAAACAAACCTCTTGATGATCATGCTCGGGTCCGAGGCTGTTTTCTCTGTTTGTGCCATCTGGAACGACCAAGACACACACAAGCGCACAACATGAATCCGCTGGGGAGGAAGCCCGCTTACAGCGAAATGAAAGGAGTGATCACCTGTTGTGTCTGCAGAGTGGATGGGTCCCAGGGGCCCAGAATTAGGAAGAGCTCTCGGATGGGGAAAAGGTGGACCTGGAGGCGGCAGAGGAGCCATCACTCCTGGGGGAGGACCAGGCCTCCTGTAAATTGGACCTCCGGGTTCAGGGAACATATAGCCTGAGGAAGAGCAAACGAAATGGAAGTAGACAGCGAGAAGAGATTTTAATCATGGGATTTTTCAAAGTCAGGCATTTGGGGAGATCGACAGACTTTCGACACTAAATACAACACAACACAATACACACATGCTGCTGCCATGCTATCTTTGAAATTCATAAAGGCTCAAAAAGTTACCACTACGACGAAAGACGTGCCGCGAAATTCATCCATCCATATTCTGATCGACTTTAACCTCACAAGGGTCGCGGGGCATGCTGGAGCTTATCCCAGCTGGTTTTGGGCAGTCGGCGGGGGACATCCTGGACCGGTTGCCAGCCAATCGCAGGGCACACAGAGACGAACAACCATTCGCGTTCACACTCACACATTGGGACAATTTGGAGTGTTCAGTCAGCCTGCCCATGCATGTTTTTGGAATGTGGGAGGAAACCGGAGTACCCGGAGAAAACCCACGCAGGCACGGGGAGAGCATGCAAACTCCAGGAAGGCCAGGCATGGAATTGAACCCTGCACCTCTGAACTGTGAGGTGGGATATGCTGCTTTCATGGAGAATTAAGGAAATCAGAACATATTGGGAGGATTACACGACATTCCAGAATGTCCTGATCCTTTCTAAAACACACCTTGAAGGGGAAATGGCCCGGGGGCTCCCAGTGGGGGTCCCCTGCGATCTCTTTCCCACGAAGGAGAGATGGAGCCGCTGTCCGAGTGCGCGCCTCCACTCTGCTCGAGCTCCCCGTGGGCACCAGGCGGCTCGACTGGACCACGAGTTCCTGGAGAAACAGCCATGGCAGAACATGGCACAAGGTCGCCGTGAGGACAAGCGGACACAATTGCGTGTTGAGTGGAAGGAAGGAGAATCAGCTGGGAAAAAAAAAATTCTTAAAACAGAGTTTTAGGCAATTCAGCCAAAATAAGGAATACAGTCAAACCTCGGTTTTCGAACGTCTCTGTTCTCGACCAAATCGGTTTTCGACCAAAAACTTCGAGTTTTTTATGCCTCGGATGATGACCGAATTTCGGTTCTCGAACAAACTGAGCGCACTTGAATGCGTCACTTGACTCCTCTCGCCTTCCTTACGAGGAAGTGACGCGTCCTCGTTTAGCGTTCCATGGTGAACAGACGTGTTCAATAAAGATTTTTTTTTTTTAAAAAAGAGCGTGGTTTCAGTTTTCGAACAAATCGGTTTTTGAACAGCCTTATGGAACTGATTATGGTCGAAAACCGAGGTATGACTGTAATCAGTTCCATGAAAAAAATCCTTGCAAATGTAGCGTGCTTCCAGCTTCGGCATCTGATCAAACTTGAAGCATACATGTAATGATCGCAAAGCATCCATTTGTTAAATTCTCAAAAACTTGTCTTTCATGACAAATGGCTGCAAGAAAGTTTCGTTTAATGTACAAGCGTGTATGACAACATCCCATCGGCTCTTTGCACATCACCTCCTACATTGCTAAAACATGGCTTGGTCTTTTCTAATTTGGAAAAAACATTCTGTCAGGAACATCACCGTGGGACAGTTATTGCCTATACACACACTTGTATATTATCTACGTATGAGTTTGTATGTAAGAATTTTTCATACCGCTCAATTACACAACATAATTATCACTCTATAATCAAAACTATTCAAATCTATAATCATAAACTGCTTTCAATATATATTATTTCATCAAATCAAAATGCTTTTATCACCATGATGTGCGTTTACAATTGGTTGGGATGATTAAACAACTAAATATTGATTCGTGTTCATATCATGAATGATTCACTTGTTATATGATAATCCTCCAGTAGGATTTTCAGGACTTTCTTCACAAATTTACACTTTTTAGCAAGAACAATATTCAAAATCTTTGGCAGTGAATATTAGGAGCTGAAGCTATCGGATAAATGTAACAATTTTAAAAAGCAGGACAAAGTGGGTGAAATGACATAAATCTCCTTTAGTCAAAATTGAATTAAAGGCGGGCTAACTGTACATTGAGGGGGTGACTGTGTTTGCCTTGGGCCCCAACTAGCTACGGCCCTGAAACTGAGCCAGCGATGTCACCAGCAGCCTGACAACAGAAGTGTGATTAGCACCTCGTGCATTGATAAAGAAGGCAGTTTGTTGCCATAAGAGCTAATGTGAATTGCACGCCACATTGGGCTTCGACTCTTCTCACGTATGTCACGGTAATATGCTTCAATTGGGCAAAGAATTTTGACAAATATCTCTGTCTTGCCCAAGGACACCTCGGCCATGTGTCCGGGGCATAGGGTCTTGAACTGGGATCTCCCCGGCAGCATGTCACAATCTTAACTACTTGATCACGACTGTCCACATTGTCGATTTTGTTTGAATTTTCCACTGCACAGTGGAGAAAAATGCTGTCATCAGCACCATAAAATATTTGGAATCCAAATGTAAAGGCAATTTTTAGGTATCATTTTTTTTATCTTTGGACAAACTGATTTATCCTTTTAATTTATTTTTTTTTCATGCAGTGTCCTGTAAAGGAATACAGGGGTTCTGGGACTTCGACATTGCTGAGAAATACTTGGTTGCTAAAACTGCTTTTGGATTTGGATGACAATGTGGACATTGAAATCCAACAATATTCATGCTGTTGTGACTGTTGCTCTTTGGAGGAGCGAGTCAGGGTGGAGGGAGGGGGGGGGGGTCATCGCTTTTTAAAGACGAGTATTCTGCTGTTTACTCAAGACTATGAATGAATACACGAATGCCATATTGCACAAAGCTGGAGAAGTGTGAATTGTATTAAATGCAGTGGATACGACCTCACAGCATTGTGCCTAGAATCCATTTCATGCTAGCCCAGTAATATACAATAATAGTGGTCAGATGAATGGCATTTGGAATTTGGGAGTGAGTGAAGATTTGTTAAATTTGATTGGCATTGTCAGAGAGGTTTTAAAGTATATTCAATCACAACAAATGTTTTGTTGAATGAATACCTCTCCGACTGGGTCGCTCAAAAGTAAACAATTATGCTTGTAAAGGCAGAATACTTGCTACAGCCCTTGTATGGGGTGTTGTTATGTAGTTAAAGTGGCCATATTTTCAGTGTATTTGGGGACACCTACCTCTAGGTGACAGTCTGTTTAAAGGTCCTTCAAGAAGTGTGGGAGGCGAGAGTAAAGCTCGGTTTTCAGACGCAGGTCGACCCAGAGGAGAAGGACCAAAAGGCAATCTTTCAGCTGGAAGAGCAGAACAGCTAAACCTGAGTTAAACATCCAGGACATCTTGGCCGAGGATTTACAGACGGACAATATTGTTGGTACACCTCTAGCAATGAAAGAGAATCCCACAGTGGTCACAGAAATAAACATGGAACTGACAAATACAGTTTTTTTTCTTCATGAAAATCAGACATTGCTTTTGAAATGTGGTTCAAACAGGTATGGATAAAAATGATGGTACCCCAGGAAAAGATGGAAAATAATTTTACTATGGGGACATGTTCAACCAAGATGTGTCCTCTAATTACCATGACTGGAATCATCAATCTTGTAATCAATCAGTTGGCCTATGTAAAGGGTAACAAGGGACTAAGACAGGGACCGGAAGAAGCAAACGTGAAAGCTGTCTCGGGATCAGAAGAAAAACAAAAGAAATACACTATAGTTCAAGTTACAATGAAGAAGAATTTTATTCACATCACAGAAAAGATTTGACGTGCATCGATTTTCCTGAAATAAAATTCAATAAAATAAAGAGGCGTCCATCTATTTTCCGATCCACTTATCCTTACAAGGGTGACAGGGGGTGCTGGAGCCTATCCCAGCTGTCTTTGGGCAGTAGGTGGGGGACACCCTGAACCGGTTGCCAGCCCAGAAGAAGAAACATCCGCACTCACAATTACACCGTGGGACAGTTTAAAGTGTTCCATCAACATGCCATGCATGTTTTTGGAATGTGGGAGGAAACCGGAGTACCCGCAGAAAACCCACGCAGGAACGAGGGGAACAAGCAGACTCCACACAGGAAGGCCGGAGCCAGAATCAAACCCTGCATCTCTGGACTGTGAGGACGACGTGCTAACCAGTCAAACACCGGACCGCCCATAAAGGCGTATCGTATTGTGTCAATAAATAAATGACAGTGACATTTCCACTGTCTGTTGTCAATATGCAATTACACTTCAATCTTATATGGCTAAAAAAAAAAAAAAGCCTGTTCTCAGGTCACGCGCGCCACGCCTAGCATCGCACGATTTGACAAGAGGGACATTGAGGACACGGCAGTTTCAAAATAAATTACTTAAAAAATGTGAGACAGGAATTTGCCAAACTGATGTTAACAAGCCACAAAGCTTTTGGGAGAATGTTCTATGGACAGGCAAGACACACAAATTTCTTTGTATGATGAAAAATGCGAAAATGCCGCACACTCAGAACACACTACTGTTCCTACTGTGAAACATGGAGGAGGGTCTGTTATGTTCTGGGGCTGCTTTGCTTCATCTGACACAGGGTGTCTTGAATCTGTGCGCGGTATAACGAAATCTCAATACTGAGATATTCGACAGAGAAATGTGCTGCCCAGTGTGAGAAAGCTTGGTCTCAGCCGCAAAAGGATAATGGAACCAAAACACACAGCTACAAACAACCAAGAATGGTTAAGGGCAAAACATTGACCCATTCTGAAGAGGCCTTCTATAAGCTCTGATCGAAATCCTTTTGAACAGCTGTGGAAGGAACTCAAAAACATGCCACCCTTCAAGCCTGAGACAACTTCAGCACTTTGCTCATGAAGAATGGGCTGATATCTGACGAGAGGTGCACAAGTCTCACAAAAATTAACATAGATCGTCTGATTGCAATGATTGCCTTTATAGGTTGTGCAACAAAATATTACGGGACTAGTACCATCATTTAGATCCAGACTTGCTTAATAAGTTTTATTTATTTGTTCTTTTAGTATTTCTGTTGAACTACAATTTAAAAGCAACATCTGATTTTCATTGGTTCATTTTCATTACGTTTGTCTTTTATTTTCAGAGGGGCACCAACAATTTTGTCAAAGCGTGCATAATACTGAGTTCTACTTTGTATGGGTGTTTATGCTGACCTCGGAAAGGTAAAGGCCTGGCCACGCTGTCCAAGGTGAATGGCTCTCTATCGAGGGCATCCAACTTAAACTGTGTGTCTGTAAGCCTGTAAACATACAAAATTAAAGTTAACAGGGAAAACGTTACCATGTGATACGTACATTATAAAAACTTGAAAAACAAGAAAGAGAGGGGAGTGTGGTGTAGCGGGTGATGGTGAAGGTGGCTTGCGTGGGTTCATTGGTGATGCATACTTCTGCCTGAGGAGGGCGTTTTCTCTCTTGATGTCTGATAGTTCTCTGTCTGCTGCCCGTGCTGCAAGCTGCACCAAAAAAAAAAAAAAAAAAAAAAAGTCCATCAGAGACATTCCTCATGTAAATGCGGATCAGTTATGGCTACAGGACAATCTACGGTAAGGTGCATACAAGAATATACTGTATTTTCCGCACCAAAAGGCATACCGAAAAGCCTTCCATTTTCTTCAAAGCTCACAGTGCGCCTTAAAATCCGATGCGCCTTGTGTATCGTCATTACGGTAATATGTCAACCCCAAAATGGCTCCTTGCTAGAGACCTGCTTACAACGCAGAGTTCAAACTTAAGGCAATCGGTTTCGCAGTTGAACACGGAAATAGAGCAGCGGTAATAGAGTTCAACGTTAACGAGTCAATGTTATAACTTGCTGTTGGTTAAGTGAACGGTGTCGCTGCTTTATTAAGTAAGTTTTACTGACATCTGATCGTCGCTATATAAATCGAGGTCTAGTGTAGCGTCTGTTGGCATTTCCTTGAGCGTAGCTCCATCTAGTGGATGCATTGTAGATTGCATCTTATAATGCGGTGCGTCCAATATATGAAAAAAGTTTCAAAATAGGCCGTTCATTGAAGGCCTCATAATCCAGTGCGCCTTTTAGTGTGGAAAATACGGTATTTGACCTCCATTCGTGGTAAACAATCACAACCACGTCAAGAGCAACAGGTAGTTGATGAAAGTTTAAAAATGCACCATGGTTTGGCAGATTCTGGAATACAAACCCAATTGTTGTGAGCCTTCTTCTCATGGGCTGATATCTGGGTCTGATACGACTGCTTGGTTTTCTCCAGCTCCTCCTCCATCTCCCCGGCCCGAAGCCTGAAGAGAGAGAGGCGTGTTGAACGTCCACACATTTGACTACGTTTCAAATAGACTTTGCAGGACTACCTACTTGTAGTTGTTGAGTTCTTCCATTGCCAAAGCAATGTTTTTATCAGCTTTATTCAATTTGTCTTCTTTCTGCAGACGCTCCTTTTCCTCCACTGTCAGCAACCTGCACAAAATAGAAAAAGTCAATGAAAAAAAAAAATACTCTTCAACAAATAAACTGTAGTGTCACTACCTGTGTAGTTTGAGCTCATTTTCTTGGTACATTTCAGTCATAATCTGGAGTTTCTGTTGCAGTCGCTGAACCTGAGCAGTGTTAAAGCGAGGCAAATTAAGAGAGAATTTTACAAGAGCAGACACATTTGGGTTGAGTTTAACTACCTGTTCGTTGTAGTGCTCAGTGTCGGCTTGCATAGACAATCGCTCATTCTCCAACTCCTTAATGCTCACTACAAGAAAATGCAGTGGAAATTCAAGACTAGAAATATACAATAGCCTCATTGTCTCACCATGTTGTCATGTATCAGACATTTCAGTGATCTATCCTGCTGTGACTTTAAGCCCCAAATCAATTCCAAAACTCATGACACTACCCCCTGTCTGTTTCTGCAAAATTGCTAAATCAGAAACCTAACAGGAGAATTTGAACCACAAATTCCCTGCAACAAATTAAACATGAGTTCAGGCCATTGAACTGTACACTGACTGCTTTGTTCTGCAGCAGGATGAAAAGGTACCAGTAATTATTAAAATGGAAGCATGCCAATTGGTTGAAAATATTTACATCGTGTTTTGATTCCCGTGATTTGTTATTTTGTCTCGTTTTAGTCCATCACGTGATATCATGTTCGAGTTCAAACAGAAGCGAGATGTCATTTGCCCATTTGGTTTTAATTACCTGCCGATGCCCAAGTATGGGATCGGGACTCGGTAACGTATTGAGAAAAAAAAAAAAGAGCGTGCATCTTTTTTTGGGGGGGGGGGGCACATTGTTTTTGTCCTCAAAATCTGTGGGTTTTTAGCATTAAAATTGGATGAAATACAGGAACTATAGCCATGGCATTTACGCTAAGCAAATGTTAACTTTTAAACCTAATGCACATCAATATGGAGGACGCGTTATAAAAATTTATTTTCATCTAAGTGCCTGGGGACAACGCAAATGGCACCGATTTGGTGTAAGCACCCAAATAAGCTTTTAGATGGGATGAGGGCATTCTCCGCTAAGAGTGCATTTGATTTGTTCAATGCTAACTTCTCTGCGAATTTCTCCATTGTGAGACAAATAAAGGTTTTTCTTCTTCTAAACTACACATTTACATCGATATTTAAAAGCTTGTACAGGCTAAAATTAAGAGTCCAAGCAGCTATAAACATGTTCGTGTCTGTGTTTTTATGTATTTTTTATGTAACTTTTTTTTTCTTTTTAAGTAAACATCAGGGGTCAACAATATGATGCCCGCGGGAACCACAGAGCCCCCAAGGTCTACATAAGCAGCCCACAGGGCTGTTCTAAAAAATTTCGAGGAATGCTGTAGAGGTGATCATTTGACAACGTGAACCCTGGCAGTGATTCATTGAAATAAAGTGTTGACTATTGATGTTAACGTTTCACAATTACTGGAAGAAATCTTTAACATGCTGTTAGCAACACAATATTATTAAAAATAATTTTAGCAAAGGAGTTGTTTCAGAAGTGTGTATCAAAGTGGTAGCCCCAATGCTATCATCAGCACCCAAGAAGTAGCTCTCAGTTTCAAAAAAGGCTTGGCAACCCCTGTTTTTGAGAGCGACAACTAATTGGCTGAGAACAGGAAATTGCTAAATGTCTGAATGCGTAAGTTATCGGGGTAGCGGTAGGCACAATAAATCTTTGAAATGAGAACTCACCTTCTAGGTCCTCCTTAGCTTTGACTTCGTCATTAAGTTTGGCAAACACTCTGTCCTTGTCTTCATCAACTGATTTGAGGTCTGCATTGAGCTACACAGACAAATAATGACACATTTGTGTTATCCAGAAAGGTTTACTCTTGATTGGGTCAATCATAAGTCTCAAACATGTCTTCAGATCAATTGTCCTGATTACGGCACCCTGTGACATCAGCAGTAATATGCAGTCCACCCGACAGCATATAAAGTCACGGAAAAATGATACTTGAGTAGAAGTACGAGTATATTTACAGAAAATCACTTCCATGCAAATGAAAGCCACATTGCAGAATATTACTTCAATAAAAGCGTTTGACATTTACAATAGTGATGTATGTAGTGTATACATTTTTTTTTTGTTTAAAGTATGTACTGAAGTATTGGAAGTACAATTAATTTAAAAAAGTGAGCGGTTAGATTTGTGATTATGTTTTTCTTTTAAGAAAAAAAAAATATTTCTATTACTTTTAATTGATGTATTTATTTATTTTGTTTACTGCATCGCTGGCATCTGCAAGTCAAACTCTGGAAAGAGCAACTGACAAAGAGATGCGCATGGGCCCAGAGAAAGACTTCCAGATTACCTGCGTCTCATTTTCATGAACTCACTTGACCAGTAACCCTACCAGATACACTCCATCCATTTGGTGCTCTGCAGTTCAGGCATTAAATCAACAAATCGGGGGATTTTATTTTGAAGTAAAAAAAGATGTTTAGGGGAAATGTATCTGAATAACGTATACATGCTATTTAGGAAATGTAGTGGTGTAAAAGTGAAAAGTTCCACAAATATAAATAAAGTCAAGTACAGATTCATGAAAATTGTACTTCATGAAGTATTTGTGTTCTGTAAAATTACAAGAATGCCAAAATGTGCTTCAGTCTAGTCGGTTTTTTACCTTAGCAGCATAAATAAGCTTTTGGACTTTCTGGAGATGGATTTCAGAATTGGTTCCGTCTACTTTTCCATTCCTCTCTGCTCTTCCTGTGGCCCCCTTAGATGCGTCACCTCCATCTTCCTCGAGATCGGCATCCCAAGCTTTCATCCCCAGCAGCCGATCGGTGAGGGACTGAAAGCAAATGTGCTTGGTTCAAAGACTTTAGATGAAGCCAGTTTTGTCAGTTATTGGCCATGTCCAAGCAGTCATACCATTATGCGTTCATCCTTGTTGGCGACATCCTGCACCATTCCGCTGTGGGCCAATTCATACCTTCTCATCTCCTCCTCCAGCTCACTCACTCGCTCTGCCCATCCCTCCACCTGTTGGCTTAACTGCACAAGAAACAGACAGAAAAATATAAATGAATGACAGAGAGGAAACTGACCAATAGAAAGACAGAAAGGCACCGGCAGTAATTGAGATGGCAAGGGAAACACTGACATGACAGGAATGGGATGCCTCTAATTGCCCCACGGGGATAAATAAAGTTTTCTGAATCTGAATCTGAATATCTCTGTCTGCGTTACCTTATCAAGCCTATCGGCATCGAATGAAGAGCTTAAGAAGCACAGATTTTGTCTCACCTGTGTGTTGCTCTCCTTGAGCAGACTGTTTTCTTCTCCAGCTGTTTCTTGATTCCGCTGTAGTCTCTCACTGTTCATATCGTACACCTTAATGGTTGTTTGAGCCTTGGGAGGGGAAAAAGACAGAGTGGCGATGCATGAAAAACAGGAGGAACATTAGCGGGGGCGGGAACCTGAAGCTGTAGGCAGGACTGAAAGCAGAACACAACATAGAGCACACAAATTGATTGCAACTACTTTCAACATTGCTTATTGGGAAAATTCTGCTTGGACAATCAAAGATCAATCTCATAACGTTTTAGTGAAATGACATTTAAAAAAACATGTCTGGTAAGCCTATTTCTTCTGGCAGCCTTGAAAACAACTACATGCAGATACATAGAGATAGGGAGAGAGAGAGAGAGAGAGAGAGAGAGAGAGAGAGAGAGAGAGAGAGAGAGAGAGTGTCATACTTCACAGAACATAAACAGACAGATAGAGAGAGAGAGAGAGAGAGAGAGAGAGCTAGCGAGATAGATACAGTGTCATACTTCAGTTTACCCCTAAATGTCAGTAATCCTTCCTAGCCCTCAAAAATATTGTTTATGCACTTGGAAGTCAATATACCACTGTAGTGTATAAAGATGTTGCTCGACTTTTGGTATGTCTCATTTGACAGTGGTGTGAAATAATAATACTGCATCTTGGTGAAGAAACTTTTCCATTACCATTTTTTTTGGAGGGGACTGCTGATGAAAATGCTTAAAATTGCAAGGCCAAACAATGTGACTTTTGACCGCACAAATTTTGTCATATTATTCAAAATGTTTTGTCATCAGGAAATCTCTGAAAGATCAGTTTACAATTGTGCCAGCAGAGTGCTGACAAGAATATTTTATATGAGTTGTAAGATGGAAAGTCACCTGTTGTTCTTGTGACTGGAGCTCCTTGGTTTCTTCCTGTATTGTTTCCATGCTCTGCTCTAGGAGTGTGACCTTGAAGGAATTTAAATACAATAACATCACAAATAACATCACCTTCCTCCACCCTCGTTCTTCATCGGCTGTTCTTAACGCATTGTACGATCGTACCTTTTGTTCCTGTTCTTCTCGGTGTAATCTCTGCTGATCCAACTGATCCTTCAGTTCTTGTAGATTTTCTTCTAGTTGAGTATTAGCGAGGTCTAACTGTTGGGCTCTGACCTGGATGAGCCAGAAAGCACAAACGAGATTTGCAGAAGACTAAAAAGATCAACGGAAAAATTTGTACACTAATGACAAACGTGGCAAATACTTTCCATAACTCATTTACGGCCAGTATTTCAAATGAATGCTTGTAAAGCAATATAATCAAATGGCAACAAATTGGTTTGGATGATAAGAATGACAATAAAATATTTTCTGTTCATAAAGCTTTACCCGAGAGTAGTACGAGAATGTTGCTAACTGCAAAACCTACAAACAACGAATGTATTTCAAGTTATTGATACCAGCCCTCTCCAAGAAACATTTGCAGTCGATGGTCTGTGACACATTTTATAAACTCTGCCTTACCTCCAGATCTATTTCTTGGTTTTGAGCTGAGGTGCCACTTTCACTGAGCGAGTTCTCCAGCTCATCGTACTAAAAATAAACCATAAAAAGACAAATGAAAGAACTGTTTTTAAAGTTGAGTACGATGAATACAAAATTCAAGGATTACAAACATATTAAGAATCATCAAATTGCAACTAGAGTGCGAACCTCTTGTTGACATTTACTGAGAGTTTCTAGGACTTCACACTTTGCTTCAAGCAGTTGTGCAACCTGCTCAGCCATCCGCCACTCTTTACCTAGTAATGGTAAAATTAAGTATTTGGGGTACATTTGCAAGCAGTATTTTTTATTTAATATTTCTGTCCACAAAATAAGAGCACTGGCACTCAGAACAATTCAAGGAAGTGGAAACTTACGTCGATACAATCTGCTTTTGACCTGTGTTAAAATAGGGAAACATTATTACAGGACTGAATTTATCATTACAAGTATTGTTTTATGATCAAAATACCCAATCAAATATGGCATTTCAAATGTAAACCTAATTGATAATAGATAAAGATGTAAACACAACAATACAACAATCTATTATTTGTGTGTAGATGTGCTGCACACTCACAGAGCTGTAACATCTGCAACTGAACAATAACGTCACCAGCCCCACCAGACTGGAGATGATAATTAGTTCCCATGGGATTCCATAGAGGTCAGGCCCAGGCCTTATGTCATAAGGCAGTGATGACACAACCTGGAATGAGTGGTTAAAAAAATAAAAATAAAATAAAATAAAAACATTTCTCAGTGTAATTTTGCAAAGTGTTCATTCTAACCATCATGTAACCTCCTAATGTCAAATACCGCCTGAAGAGATCCCTGTAATGCAAGGTACAGCCATCTCTTTTGAGCAGAGCTTTATCTTACAAATTTGCTGAAAATCCATACTTAGCATTGAGAAAACATACATGATTCACAAAGTTAGGGATATTCTACCTTCGGGTGACATATCACGATGAACATAAAATGCACTCGAACTTTACGAAAGAAATCATGTTGACCTTTTCTAAACCTTTGAATGCACATGGCCAACAGCTTCATGTTTCAGTAATTTTTGCACAACCCACTCTTCTCCAACAAGGACCTGAACAGCAAAATTCACAAACAGGCTTTTGATCTGTGAATCAATACGTTTTCTGGTTCAAGTGCAATTCCTATTTAAACAGTCCTGACAGAATTAGACCAAAACGGCACCGAAAAATTCACCAACAGTATCTTGCCAGTTTGAGGCTGAAAGATGGATATTGTCAGATATAAGTTGCTACTGAGATTGGGCCATGAGCAGACTGTTACACGCAGACTGGACGAGTCACAGAAAGGCATAATAGTGGACATAAGTGGTAATAAAAATGAAATAAAAAAAAGACAACTGTAGGGAATTCAGCCATTCGGCTTCTCTGCGGAGAACACAAAGTTGTGCATGAAGTAGTGAATCAATTTACATTTGAACATTACATTCAACACTTAAGAGAAGGTTAAATTAAGTTCAGCTGACATGTTTACGGTGCATTTTAGGTTCACACTGTTAAAAATACACTGACGTAGTTAAATAAAATTGTTCCTTGCCTTCGCCTGTAGTTGACACGTTACGAAACAGCAATTATATAACATTAAACAACTAAGTATTCTTAATAAAACACAAACCAGTCGTATGTATGTTTGTTTGTTTACATGAGATTAACCTGTGCATAGCAATATATTTGACAAAAAAGGCTAACTATTAGCAACCACGTCTTTTTTTAATTCTACACAAACATTTCAAAAGGCACGATTCAACCACACACTGTACACGGAAAACTAGACTGCAACATGTCGTCAATGTTGTAATATGCAACACTGAAATATAATAAAACAGCATGCTCGATGACAGCCTTCGTCAGCTGTGTACCGCTAACAGGAAATGCTAACGAACCCTGCCACAAAACGTACATCTTTGACTTTCTCCACCGCGACGCCGTAATACGTCTCGACAGTCGACTGATAGTCCATCTCTCTGCTTCCTAAACCGTCACTTGACGAGTGTGCCGACATTCCCGACTTTGCTCATTTGGTTAATATCTTCGGAATATTAACCACAAAACACTATCATTAGAATTAGCCGGGTAAGCCGTGAGGCAACATCCTATCCACTGCCCAGAACGATGGACTAAACCAACCTACCTTTTACAAGGGTGAGAGGGTAATCGAAACGTGTTAACATTCTCCCATTTGGAGCAGCTTCACGCCGACTTTACTCACGAATAAAAATATATAGAAAAGTTAAAATTAGAATAACACACTAATCAATCAAAATAATCTTTACTCACTTGTACAGGTTCCATAAAATATTTGAGTACCCTACTTTAATAAACGGCTCACCCGCAACGTCACCAATTGTAAAATGCCACACTGGCAGATCCGAGCGCTTTCCAAAAGACAGAAACAGAAACAGGTGTCAGCTCCAATAAAGTATATGTACCATATGCTGACCGATAAATTGATCTGATGTTGTAGTTACACAAAATAGCTAGCTCCACCTGACCTTCACCTGACCGTAAAAAGGCTTGTCCATCAGCGTTAGTTCACTCGCTCAACTGTAAATTCGTGAAGTGAAAAATAACAATTTACCGAAACAGTTTTCCAGTCGTCCATTTCAGAATATCGCTAAGAAACATTTACGAGAGTAGTCTCTACAGTAATGTGGCTTGCATGTTGGCTTCAAGGTTGTCACTGAACCACAATGTCAGTAATGTTGACGGAGACAAACGAAACGGAACTACTGTCCATAAAACTGGGAGGGAGTTAAGAATTATAAGATCAGTTTCTTAAAGAAGTACAGCCTACGGAGTGGATCAAGAAAATCGCGAGCTTCTTCTGCAATGCGGGAGAATGCTGCACAGGGTACGGAACTGTCCGAATCCACGAATAACTCGTACCTTCATTTTAAGCCATTTGACGAAGTCCATTCCATGAGTCTGAGAGGATGACTGTTTCTGAATTCGATGAATACTATCCTGATTCTTCACGGTTACCCCTGGAAAAAAATACATGAGAATATTGTGTGGGCCCAAGAGCAATTTATATATGGAGTGCATTTAATACTAGAATACTACTGGATTAGACTACAGTATTCCATTTAAGTCGGGGACAAGGGTTAAACACGTCGGGCTGCGACCGTCCTGTAAAATACGGAATCGTCCTTTGGGAATTAAGTGTTGCGTCCCGTATTGTTTCAATACGGGACGGGGTTTGTTCCGTCTTTTCCTAATTGTACCATATGTGTCTGTCACACACAAACACTGAATTTAACAATAATGACTAAATAAAATAAAGCAAATATTGAAGAGAGCAACGTGTTTTTGGTGGGAGGTACGCAGGCCCTCCTGCGGAACAGCGAGCGTAGCGCTACGTGCGTCTGGTGCGTTCTCCTCTACGCTGTGCCAAATCCTGTCTGTCTACCTGCGTGCACGCAGTCAGCCCCCCTGTGCGCTGCCACTGCTCGTTATGATTTTTATCTATTAATGCGCTCATTGCACACTTAACACCAGCCCTTAACACTAGCCCTGATCGAGCACCAAAGAGCACATAAAGGGGTTAAGGAAGAGGATTGCACTTTGTCCTATTTTTCGCATCTTTTCATTTGGGTTCACACAAGTGTTTAATTTGACTCTAGTTATCTTTATTGTAGTTATCTTATTATAGCAAAAGTGTCCCCAAACAGTCTTTGTTACAGCTGTTACAATACTCTACAGAATATGCATGTAATACTGTATGCTCAAGTTCAGCCGAATTTATTCAGCCTTGAAAATTTATACACACACAAGTTGACGAGTGTTTGATTTTTTTCTTCCTCTTAAAGTAAAGGTGTCCCCAGTTGTTACATTTGTAGCACTTTATAAGCTATTTAATTTAAGTATTGTCCTCTTTCAGTAAAAGTGTCCCCAGACAGGCTTTGTTTAATTGATGTATACAAAACAGTAGGCTATGACTATATGCTCAATTTCAGACTATTAAGTGTTTCATAATTGTTAAAAGTGTTAAAGTACAATATTTTGTTTAATTTACAGCACTTTTGACTAGCCTACAGGCTATGCTCAGGTTCAGGCTACTTGATCTACCAAAAAATAATAATAATGTTCATTGCTAATAAAGCACTTGAAACTTGAAATACGTTTAAATGCTTTCTTGACTTCTCCTTCCTGACTGACCACCAAGTGACCCCAGGGCCCAGAGGCTAATATGACATGTTCAATAATGTCAATTACATTGAAGCATTTTGTTTTTTCATTTTAAAAAATACATGGGATTCAATGCATTTCAGGGTTTTGGGGAGCCAAACCCTCAAATTTCTTTCACTCTCGTGGTTTTTGCCGCGACGCCGTCATGAGTGTCCCTTATTTCCAGATCTGAAAGGTGTCAACCCTAACCAGATAGCCTCCAATGACCCTGTGAGTAGCTGTTCTAAAAATAGTCCACCGTTGTTGGGACAATATGATTTTCTAAGAACGTTGTAGATGTGATCATTCGAACATGTAAACACTTGGCAGAGATTTATAGAAATAAAGTGTTGTACACTGACTTTTGTTTTTTTATGTTTCCTAATTATTATAAGAAATTAACATTACCATGTCTTCACATTACTGATTACTATTGACTCTTAACTCATTCAGTACCAGCCAATTCTAGACCCCCCCCTTTTTTATTTTACCCTAAGTCTTGGAAAAATTGAAAAAAAAAAGGATCTGGGGTTGAACGTGTGAAGTGTGAAAAGACAAATATGTCTTTGGGAGTGAATGAGTTTTAACAATAGCGTGTTGTAATAAAAGCATTACTGAAGGTAAAGGAGCACATTTGTTATTACAGAAGTGTATCTCAAACTGGTTCATTCACGCACAGGTGTCAAACTCCAGGCCCAGGGGCCAGATATGTCCCGCCAGGTCATTTTATGTGGCTCGCGAAAGCAAATCATGTGTGTCAACTTGCTAAAATCTGCACAGAAATGTTTTGTGTAATAAATAACGTTGAGATTTTGCAATAATGTTGTTACTCTGTTTACACTCACTTGAACAATAATTGAACAAACTATTATAATTGACTTTCAAAACTAGTAATCTATTAATTTGTTGTGTACCAATAATAATTTTGTGGTTTCACTGTCACAGCAGCCTTCGGAGGGAAGACGTAACTCCAAATTGGCCCGCGACTAAAGTGAGTTTGACATCCCTCGGTACCCAGGAAAAGTAGCTTTCATCTTCAAAAAGGTTGCTGACCTCTGGTCTAGAATATCAATTAACTTCTTTACTGCCCAGTAGTTTGTGTGTGACAGCCAGGAGGGGGTTCCAGCCATACCTTCCAGTAACTGTGGCGGTGTGGTCTGACTGTGAGACATCTTCTTAACATTCTCCTCCAGGGACATTTCTTCACTTCCTCTTTCATTATCATCTTCCTGATTTTTCTCCGGGCCTCCATCATTCTGTTCGTGCACCATCACCCCAACTGTCTCCGTAGTCTCTTTATCTTTGCTACTTGTAGAGCATGATGCACCAATGCAACTCGGCTGAGCTGTTTTCAGAAACACACGGGGTTACAAGGCAAATTAAAAGCAAACCGAATTAAGGAACTGAATGTGATCCAAGTGGCAGTTCTAACAGTCGAGATGATCTCTGAGGCAATGTACCTTGAGCGTTTGCTCGAGTGATGTCTGATTTTCTGGTGTCGAAAATGTCTCTCGCTCTTTTCAGCAGTATTTCTAGTTTCTGAATTGCAATTCTGGCTCCGGTCTTTTCTTTGTCCTCTTCTGGTGCGTCCGAGAGTCTCATGCTTGGAGGGAACAGTATTTCCCTGTGGTCGTGCAGAATTGCTTCGATATCCATCAATACTGATTCATCACGATCAACGTCTTCCGTGAAAACGTCCGCATGGCCAAGAATGTCATCCAATTTTTTCAAGTTCTTCTTCCCAAACAGATCAGTCAAAATACTTGTCTCTTGTGTGCTCATGTGGTCTTGGAGAGTCTTGTAGGTTTTGGACAAGGGGTTCGGTTGTTGGGGCTTTGCTGTGTTTGGAGGCAGATAAGTGGAAGGAGAAGTCTGTGTCGGGGATGGAGATGGCGGCTGGAAGTTTGTTTGCAAGTCTTTATCACTATTTGTTGTGGAGTCCAGCACATGTTTAGGACTTGGAAGGGTTTGTGGGTTCGACATCTCATTTGTTTTTCCATCAAACCCTGAGGGAGATTCTGTCAACTCTTTGGTTTTCATGATCGGCTTTTGGCTTGATGGAATAATGGCTTTTTTGAGATGGTCAAATTCTCCTCCACTTTCTATTGCAATGTCACTTTTTTCATCAAACTGATCTGTCTGATGGGAGGACAAACCAATTAGATCATGCTCAATGTCCTCTAGAGTGACCTCGGGGTCCTCTTGTGTTTTATCTGCTAAGAGAACATCTGTTAGTGTTGATGCATGATACAGAAGATTTGATCCATGGTCAAAAACGCGTTTTTCTCTCTCTCTTATGATTTCATCTTGTTCAAATTGAGTACACAGCTCATCCATACATTCGAGACTCTCCGTTTCCTCCTTAACATTCTTGCTATCCACAAAGTCACCAGCATTCTGCATGTCTTCACTTACCTTATGCTCCCAATTAAACTCTTGCTTTTCGTCTTCTTCGGCCTGCGCTAACTCCTCTTGGGTTCCCTCTCCTGAGTCCTCCACAAAGTTCCACTTGCTTCCTCCTTCTTTTCTGTTCTCTTCAACTTCTTTCTTAAGTATTACATTTAAATCGTCCTGGCGCGACTTATTCGACTCCTCTAACTGACCTGCCTCTTCCTGCTCCTTCATTTTTTCCGTCTCCATATTCTCCTCCTCTTCTAACTCTTCGACTGACTCGCCATCTTCTTCATACTTCTCCAACTTTCCCACCTCTTCCAGCTCGTCATCAGACGCTATCCCCTCCTCCTCCTCATGTTCTAAATCTTCTTGTATCTTGTCTTCTAACCCTTCTACTGACTCACCATCCACTTTATGTTTCTCTTCTTCGAACTTTTCCACCCCCTCCTGCTCCCTGTCTTCAAAGTCTTCTTGCTTATCACCTTCAAACTCTTCTCCTGACTCCCCACTCACGTCATACTTTGTCTTCTCTAACCTTTCCACCTCGTGCTGCTTTTGTCCGTCTGTAAACTCTTCTCCTTTCTCTGCCTTTAACTCCGCTTCTTCTGGCATCTTCTCCTCTAATGCCTCCACCATCTCCCCTTTGTCCCCCCTTTCCAACCCTTCCTGCTTCTCATCTTCAAAGTCCTCTACCTCTCTCTTCCGCATAAAATTCTTCAGTTTTCCGTCCTTATTGTCATCAGGCTCCTCCATTGTCGTCAGATTGTCCTGCTCTCTGAACATGCCCCACTTCAGATCGTCTAACTTCTTCTCAAATAACTGTTTCTGCTTCTTCTCTTCTATTTTGTCTACTGACTCATCACCCACTTCATGGTTCTTCTCCACCAACATTTTCATCTCCTCTTGCTTCTCATCTTCAAAGTCCTCTACTTTCTCCTTCTGCATTAACTCATGAACTTCTTCCTTCCTCGTGTCTTTTAACTCCTCCGCATTATGCTGCTTATCTTTCTTTATCAAGTGTCCTGGCTTCTTATGATGTAACTGCTCCATCTCTGTTAACTCTTCGGGCGCCTTAACTTGGAACCTTTCCGAGGTTGCAGGCTTCTCCCTGGATGGAAATTCCTCTGGGTGTTTCTCCTGTCTCTCCACAGTCTCTTTCTGCTTCGCTATCAGCGGAGAGTCTTCCTGTTCTGTCTTAATATCGTCCTTTTTCTCTTCCTCGTCCAATTCCTCATCTTCTTTCGATTCTTTCTCTTCTTTTTGGGGTGTAAGAGAAGATACCAAACTACTTTCTTTTAAAAAGTTGATCACAGATACGAATCTCCCTTGGAGGTAAGGGTGGTCCATATCCTTGGCATCTTGACTGGGTGTGCTCCCGTCAACGGAGCGTTTTTGTTTATCCTCTTGAGACCGATTTTCAAGTATTGTTTTAGCATCTCTTTTTTTCAAGTGATCTGAACCAAATTCAAGAGGTTTTTCTTCTTGTGTGTTATTGTCAGTAGCATTCCAGTGCTCTTGTGTCGCTATGTCTTTAAACTCTTCCTGACTCTCCTCTTCAAATTCCTCCTTTTCTATGACCTCCTCCATATCCTCCTGATTATCTTCTACATTCTTCTGCTCATCTGTATCTTCACTTTTCTCTTTGTTGTGAACTTCCTCCTTTTTGTCATCTTCCTCCGATTCTTTTACTTCAGTTTCAGATGCTGGAGAAGACCCACTTTCTTGCCCTTGACTTTGCTCTGCATACTCATCCGGCATAATAATGTCTTTATCTCTCCTTTCACGTTTACTTTCCTCATCGCTGACATCATCTATACATGATATGTTAAATTTGTCCACCACTTGTCCAACCTGATTTCTCAACTCACGGATATTCGCCTCCTCATCGCTATCTTTTGTGGAATCAATCTCACTCACCGACTGATCCACTGACCTCGACTCCGTGTAAGTGAGCACAGGCAATGAGGTGACATCATTCTTACGTACCAAAATGTCAAATGTGTTTTTTCCTTCCTTACCATTTGGAACAAGATTGATGTCCGTTCTCTGGTTTTGAGGAGGGTTGGCGTTTTGATCAACCTGAGATGTGTCGTCTGCCTCACTATCCTTGTTGTTAGCAGGTGTATCTTGAATATTAGAATCAACATGTCCTTGCAGAATGTTGTCAGACTGCGTGTGGGATTCAGTTCTGTCACCTTCATTGTAGTTTTTTCTGAAGGCTAAAATGTTGCTGATCCCCAAATCAAACCAAGAAGATGCCGTCTCTTTCACATCCACTTCTTCTGTACTAACTTGTATTGTCTCTTTGGTGTCCTGGTCATCCAGGCCAAACCCCAGTGTTGTTGACAGACCATTTGCAAGCCAACCCAATGTCCCCATGTCGTTGATTTTCTTCTCTTGTTCTGCTAGTGTTTCTATTTCAAGATGCAGCTTTCTGCTCCTGAAATTTTCTCCCGCTGCTGTTGTCACATCTGGTTCACTTTCATCATCATTCTCTTTGTCTGCAGAAGAGTCTGGTTTTTCATCGCCTCCAAAGCCAAGCCATCCAGTCATGGTCGAAGACTCAACAGTCTTTCTGTCCTGCTTTCCTCGGTTTTCATCGTTTTTGGCGGAATCTGATTTTCCTTCACTTCTTAACCCCAGCCACCCAGCCACTGAAGATGGGAGCAAATCTTCTCCTGGCATCAAACGTTTCTCGTGTACTTCAGCTGAATTTTCAGGTTCCTCCTTTTTTCCTACACCGAACCATCCTGTCACTGACGAACTGAGCCAGGAAGAGGTGGGGGACCCACCTTTTTCCTTCAGTTCCACAGCGGTTTCAGGGGATTCCTGTTTAGTCTTAGCTGCACCATTGTCCCGATTTTCAATCTCTTCTCTTGATGTGCTAAAAGATTCTGGAGTGGAATCTTTTGACATTCCAGCATTTGTATCGTCAGGGTGATTTCTTGTTTCAAGCTCCTCAGGGTTCTTCAGACCAGAGTCGTCGTCATCATCATCATCATTATGGTCATCATCATCATCATCATTAGTGTTCAAATGACTGGAGTCAATGAGATAGCCAAATTCATTGATACACAGAAAATCGGATTCCTGAATGAAAAGAGAATATGCAATTTAGATAGCAAAGGAGCACATTTCATACTTAACACTTCTAATGTTCGAAATGTATGATTACATCTTAATAAAAGTATATACCTGTGTTACGACTACTACCTCCTTGGTTGCATATGTCTGTTTCTCTTTTACAGCTTCTTTTGGAAAATATCCAAACTGTTTGTTCATCTGAAATCAGAATAAAGTGGTTCAATTATCCAGCTTGATTTAGAAATCAGAGCACAAGGGCAGCCTCTGTGATTTTTTTTTCCCTTGTCCATCCGGGCAAGGGAAAACGTCATCCAACATTTTTATTCATCATAACGTATCTGTGAGTTATGTTGAAAATCACATGTACATCAAATTAGAATTTATTTGGAGCCAGGAGAGAGGAAGAGACCAGGCCATAGTTTGAATGAAAGTGGTGAAGTTCTGATCAGATGATGGAGGGGTGTCCAAACTCAGTCCTCCAGGGCCGCTCTTGTGCCTGTTTTCCATCTCTCCCGGTTTCAACACACCTGATTCAAATAATCTGAATCGTTCTAATGCTGCTTCAGAGCTGGCTGATGAGCGGATCATTTGAATTGGGGTGTTGCAGACAGGAGAGATAGAAAGCAAGCAGCCCGGAACTGGACATGCCTGAGTTAATGCATGGAGCCCTTGCAACCAAAACACATGGCAAACAATCTACTATTCAGTCTAATTGTACACCAGTTGCCAAATTACAGGAAGGGCCATATCATTTTTATTTTCCTATAATGTATCTAAACGCATGTTAATGTTCAAACTGTGTGTACTGGTCAATTTTTTTTTTGTTTTTTTTTTTTTACATGTATCATACATTTACAGTTCGGATGTATTTAACTTTTTGAACAATGCATTTTCATGTAATATTTTATCACTTTTTGTTTTTAAACATGTATTTAGTTACTTTTTTAAACTTTTATGTGCAATACATTGTAATTGAATCTTTAGGTGTAGTTTTTTATTTTCTTATATTTAACGGCATGGTTAATGTTCAAACTGTGTATAATGTTACAATGGCTTACAATAATATCAAACGTACTTTAGGATGCCTCAATTTTGATGAACACTTTGACCTACTATGCTGTAGTATTTTACTGTTTGTCGTGAGAGTGGCTGGAGCACTGTTTTTTTTAGGTTGTACTCGGTGTACATTTTGGAGAACCCTCAATTTACGTTGCTTTGGAGTAGAAAATCATTATGGCTGGATTTGCAACCAATCTGTAATGACTCTTCAACTTTGACTGTTATTATAAGTGAATACTTTACAACACTCATTTTATGGATTCGTATAGTTTCTGAAAAGATTTTGTGGAACACACTGCCACGGAACCCACAGAAAGTTATAATATCGTGACTGCACTGTCGTCTCATATCTTACCTACATATATCTCATATTAAACCAACTTCGCATCACCAGACCATTCTTATTTTGAAATGTAGGTGATGATATATAGTCAAACGTACACTGCCTGCCCAAAGATGGCTCCTCTTTCCAGTCAGTTTGTGGTACACAAAGATGGTTTCTCCTTTCCGGAAGCTCAAGAAACGACAATCCTTTCCATGGTGGTCCCTGACTGCCTGTACCCTGCTCATTTGACCTAAACACAAAGTACAGACAAATGAAAACATACATTTTTTTTTTTTTTTTACAAAACTCTCTCTCTCTCTCTCTTTCTCACACACACACACACACACACACACACACACACACACACACACACACTTGATATCATAGTAAGCCATAAGGAGCCTTTCAAATAAAACAAAATTGTGCATTTTTTATTGAGTATACAGTGTAACATTTAAAACGTTAGTTCGGCCTACTGTCCAACTTACTTTCGCACTGTGAATCTCCGCAGATCTTGAAGTCAGACAGTAATCCACCGCTCAGTTGTGGCCAAAGCACAAAAAACAGGCTTGTACTCATAATAGCAGCCTGTGAAAGAGCCATTCTTGATGTTTCAATGAGAATACGTCAGGCGAAAACAGACGCTTTTTTGAGAAATGATCTCAACCAGTTGCCGAAAAGCTGTGCTTAACGCTCAAAAAGGAAAGAGCCGCGATTAGATCTTCGCACAGGATAATCATTAACGTTGCAACGAAATTATAATTACATCCCAGGTGTGTTTGTTTCGTTGTCATGGGTTCGATTCTACTAAAAAACAAATATAAATTAACGATTAAATATCCGGGACAAATCTCGTGTGAGTACAGTTTTAATATGACATGGGGTGAAAAAGTTTCACATTTTTAGACTTTGCACTGCTCCAGACATGACGACACACGTGACGCATTTGTCGTTCGACACAACACAGCGCACAGTTGATGACGTAATCAAACCGCGTTATACGGCAAGATGGCGTCCTGAATAAACTTTTTACTGCGTCTGTGAAATACAACATTTATTTATTTTTCTCCCGGAGCATTAACAGCCTAATTCACTTTAAATTTCATAATATGTGTTAGCATACGTAGCTGCATAACATGAAGTCCGACGTGGAGGATTTAATGCCGCGGCTGCTGCCCATTGAGTGCGGAGAAACTTCATCGGTTCTCAACCTGGATGGTCCGCCAAGAAACCCCCAAGAGTATCTCCGACAAGTCCAGTATGCCCGCATGAAACTCTACCTCTTACCTTATTCCTAGTGAAGCATCTCTCTGACGTTCTAGTTATTTTTTTATGTTACTATTACTAGCAGCATCCTGATGTCAACAAGTACACACTTTTACCTCACGAGAAACATGTAGTTCTACTGGTGCGCCCAAGTCATCCCACTACTGTACTGCGTAATGTTATACAGTAGTCGGAAAAAAAACATTACTTCTAACTAGTGCGCCATTGTCGTTGTATTATGTAGTATGGAACTTTATTGGATTATTATTTGATATCATCTTCAGGTCCATGTAATAGGATGTTCAAACAGTCGATGCATGTTCTTTTCCCTTCAGGTTGGAGGCAGCGTTGTGTCCAGAAGTGGTGGTTGCGAAGATTGACCCCAAGAAGTTAAAGAAGCAACAAACCGTCAACATATCTGTGAGCGAGATATGCTTTCATTGATCGCCTTGTTTGTTTGTTTTTTTACCATTTCTCCAAATTGTTCGTTTCTATATTTGCATACATTTATTAGTTTCAGCAACCTGCTCCATTGCTGAATTTGTAAATGTGATCATTTACAACGTAGTTTTTTAAAGGTTTGATAAGATAAGATAAGAAAACCTTTATTAGTCTCGCAATGGAGAAATTCCCAATTCACAGCAGCAAAGTTATGAAAGGAAGAAGTAGAAAAACAAAATATAGGAGCTGCTGGAAAGGCAGCCACTCTCGCGGCGCCATTTGTGGTTGTTTATTGATTATGGCAGTGTTTCACAATCTTATGAAGCCAAGGCACATGGTTAAATAAAAAAAAAAAAATCTCATGGCACACCATCAAACAAAAATATCACAAAAGTGGATAACCAGGGTAAATAATGGTGCCATTGTCAATAGTTTTCCCTTGTCACCAGGCCGTTTATGATTTTGTACCAGATTACAGCCTCTTTCAGGTCTACAGTCTTGTTCCTGACATCTTATGACGTATCTTTTTAGTCTTGCTCAAGGCGGGACAGAGATGTCATGATAGGTAAATAAATTATTCCTTGTGTGCTTTTTACAAATTACAATTTAGAATCAACAGTACTTGCAATTGATTACATGTGGACAACTATGTACTGCATGGGCACCAGTCACTCTAGGTGAGCTAGTAATACTGCTCGGGTTTTTTTCCACTCAATAAAATGTACAGGATTTTACAACTTTTATTGTGCTTGTTTGTATGCATTTGCACCTGATATGTTGTCGAGAATTCAGAGTTAGTAATAAACAACCCAACTTCTATGTAGGTTAGCAAAATTACAAATTCAGCAGTCGATCGAATAATTATTCCCCCTCTGTGTATACAATTGTGGTGGGTGGCAGTAGGCAAATCGGTGAGAAAAAAAAAGTATATACTTTTTGTTCCATTAGCAAATATTAGGGGTGGGACGATGCACTTACCTCACGATTCGATTCAAATCAGCATACTTGTGTGACGATTAGATTCATATCACGATCATTGATTATACTGCGATTTGCGATTCAATATAACGGTTATTGTTTTTTTCCTCAAACAGTACATTTTCTTTTATTGTACCATTTAAAAAAAAAACAACAACAACAATCCATAAATTGAATCATGTACTTCAATCAATGCAACCAGATGAAAACCAGTCACTCTGTCTAACATTTATTTTCAGCCAAATGCCCTTGGTATAACATCACAACATGTTGTTGGTCAGTGCCATCAGCGGTCAAGAAGACGCCAGAGCATTTTCACCATTCGCCATTTTCTTGTTTTTTTTGTTTGTTTTGCTCCGACTGCGTGGCTCAGGCACTGGCTCGCTCAAGATGACGTAGTGTGACTCCGCTGAATTCTTATGCCTGCAGACTCATCACAACAAATTGGCCCCGCGCTGCCCTCTGCTGGAGGGAAGTGGTAGCGTCCCCTGTGCTGTTTGAAAAATCATGAAAATCGATTCTAAACTTTGACATCGATTTATTGAATATCGGCATCTAAAATTCCGATTGTTGGGTGAATCTATTTTTTTTGCACACCCCTTGCAGATATACTTTTACTCAAATATGTTTGAATCACGTGACCATTGAATGTGTTCCAGGTGGCAGAGTGCCATGCTGCTCCAGCTGGATTTTCTCCCAGCCTAGATTGGCAACAGAGGCAAGTCAGCAGTTTTTCCGATGTCAGACAGGTGATTAAAAATAACTAACTGTGCTATGCATACTTAAAAATTGATCCTCGTTGTAAAAGGGTTCCTCTGACCTTTTCTGCATTTCGCTCAGAGCATCACAAAGAACAGACAACACTGGAGCAGCCACTCTCTTGATGACAATGTCGTCATGGTGAGAATTATCATGATAGTTCGAGAGTTTTTTTTTTTTGCTGATGATGTCAGTGAATGGATGTCATTTATATGCAGTTGTTTATCTGCAGCCAAAGCAAGCAGATGAGGAAGGCTGGAAGCAGTTTTGTTTAGGAGAACGGGTCTCTCAAGGTACATTGTCCTCGCACGCAGATGCCAATGCAGAGGCAGGGCTGGACTACAGCAAGGTTGGATGAAATAAGATTTGGATTCTTCTGCATATAATTGATTGAAATCTAGTAGCAAAATTGTTGTTCAGGTTGGCTTCCCACCCTTCCTGAGCATCGTCAGCCGATTCAGCCAGGTAGGTTTGGTCCACTCGAGCCACCATAGCTTCCATTCAGAATCAACATTGTCCTCTTTGCATTTGCTTTGTCTGCAGGCTACTGTCCTGACAGTGCTGGACATTCTGATCAGTTGGTTTGAAGAAAGAGATTTTGTCCCCCAGTTGGTGAGTTGGCATTCATGCTTCTGTTGGGTGCCACCGTAGGAGGTGCGACGTATTGCACAAACAAGACACATTTTCTTGGCCACTGAATGAAGGGAATACTTTTGACTTGCTCATCGATTAAAGTGACTGACGAGGTCATGTGAATGACAGTTTCCATACATCCCATACTTGGAGCTGTACACGCCTCATCAAATGAGATCCAAAACAAGGCTGCATGCACGGCAGAAGACAATTAGGGATGTTTGATGCCACTTTTTTTTTTCCAGACCAATACCAGTATGAATACTCAGTTTTTGATGACTCACCACTACCAAGTAACCGATACCACGAGTACCTTTGATGCTTAAAAATTAAACCTAGGATAGATAATTGCAAAGGAAGACTTTTTTCTAAATAAATAACAAAAGGCACATATATAATGTAGTAATTGCATCTTATTCACGGAGAAAACCCCTGTCAGTCATCCATGCTATTTACTTTCTCAGAGTAGAAGAGAGCGCCATCACTATCAGGGACTGGTTTTGGTAGCCTACGAGAGAACTCGATACGTTGAAATAAAACCAGCATAAACTCGATACTTCGTATCGGTCCTTGCCCATCCCTAATGACAATAACCCTCTTGAATATGTAGCATAAATGGTTCTCACTACTCATTTCAAGATGAAGCCATTTAAAGGGGCCATGTCATGCTAAATCCACTTTTTCAGCCTTTCACCATGTTTACTTCAGCAAAACTGCCAGTTTTTGCGAGGTGGTAGAGTAGAGGACCCCAAGAGGCAGGGAGGAGCAAGAGGCGGACTGATCCGCTTTATCCTCACAAGGGTCGCGGGGGGTTGCTGGAGCCTATCCCAGCTGTCTTCGGGCAGTAGGCGGGGGACACCCTGAACTGGTTGCCAGCCAATCACAGGGCACACACAGACGAACAACCATCCACGCTCACACTCACACCTAGGGACAATTTAGAATGTTCAATGAGCCTGCCATGCATGTTTTTGGAATGTGGGAGGAAACCGGAGTACCTGGAGAAAACCCACGGAGGTCTGGCCGGGGAGAACATGCAAACTCCACACAGGAAGGCTGGAGCTGGAATTGAACCCGGTACCTTTGCTAACTAACTAACTGAAGGACTCGAACAAAGTCCTGAAAATCACAAGGAACCAAAGTAACAAAAACCTATGACAGACACAAAACATGACAGGAACACACAGACACTCACAATGACCCAACAAAGAGTGACGAACGGCAGGGAAGTAAATACAAGCCAAGTGACAAGACAACGAGAAACGCCTGGACAAGACACAAAGGGTTGAGGGAGCTGATTGGTTCAACATCGGTGACCCGCGTGATGAGAACAGGTGGAGACAAAAAGGGCACATGTGAGAACAAAACCAAACGTAACCTAAACAAAAACAGCAGCAAAGTGGTATTCTCCTCCATTCACCCGTCTCTGAGCATTCCTGCTCATTCCCCCCTCAAAGTAAAAGCTTTGCCTAATCCAAGAAAACGACTGGCTCCTCACTTTTCTACGTCACAAAGCGAAGAGCCACCACCGTACAGCCCCCGTTGACAAAAAACACGTCAGCTTTCTCAGAGCAACAACCAGTGA